AAAAAAAAAAAAAAAAAAAAAAAAAAAGATAATACAATTTTGTTGTAAGGCAAATGGAAGTCTATCCTTGACCTCCCTGGTGCATAGTCCTGGCCAAGAGCCAACACAAATATGTAAGGTTAGGGTGCCAATATATCCTAAACTCTCCCTATGGCGTACTGTGTAATAAAGGGTACCTCGTCTTTATCTACTTCACAGGGTAGGGTTGGGGGAAACCACACTACGTATCTCTGTAGCTGTTCTTTCCTAATGTCTAAAAAAGGGAAGAAACTTCAATTTCACCTGTTACTAGCACTCTACTTTCAAATTAGGTTGGTAGGTTGCCTGAATGGCTTTTTAAATGAGGCAGCAAAATGTATCATCAAAGCAAGTTGGGACATTGCTGTCACATGTCCCTGGCTGATTATACCACAGTCAACTTCTATTTTAGCAAGTAAACTGAAGGAAAAGATACATCTTTTTAATTTTGTCTATGCAGAATCATGCCTCTTGCAAGTAACCTTTATAATTAGGCCCTCAATTGTGTGGGTTTTGATTTAAAATTAAACAATAAAATTAGTGAGTCCTAGACTTGTCAAATGGGAGCAGTGATAAGGTGAAATCTGAAGGGGCTAATACCAGTTCTGATAGGATGAAGCTAGCATAACAGATCTGAAATACTAATAGGGTTATTGTCCTGAGAGCATGACTCAAACTGTTCGAAATACTGGAAAAAAATCACCCAACCTGGTCTGGGCGTAAGGGTATTGGGCAGAAACAAAACCACATTTTACTAAACAAGAGATGGCCACTCACTCTTGTTCCACCGCTCCTGCAGCTTCTGCTAAGTGGCTAGGCTAACAGATGAGAGCAATTTGAAATGTGAGTTTAAGGCTTTCGTTGTGAAGCTGCAGGACATGAGGCTGAAAAAATACTTATTTTAAAAACAGCATATATTGAATTGCTTTACGCTCTTAATTCTTGCAAAGAGGAAAAAAGAGCTCTCACACAACAGGGCTTTTGCTTGGCCACTTAAAAGAAAGCTCACCCAGACACAGTGAATATTGAACCCAATACACACATTCTCCAGGCAAGTTTAATGAGGTACACACTTTGTTTCATACTTGAAGGTAAAAACAATAGACGGCAAGAATGAGCTGTGGCCAAGATCACAAAGTGGTAGCCTGTGGACTGCTTTGCCACACAGATGTTTTATTTGGCTGGCACAGCACCAAAGACATAATCTGGCATTTAAAAATTGGGCTATGGAACATCTCTTAAAAAATTGCAAGTTCTGGAAACACCTGGCCAGCAACCCTGCATAGCATTAATTGAGTGGGGTTCAGAATCAGTTGCCCCGTCAGGTGGGAGGGAGCACTCAGATCACTACAGCCTCACCTGGCCTGCTTCACTTATTTGCATCTGCCTCCCCCATAGGCACTTGGGTTTGGGATCCCTGGATGTTATTAAGGTCACACATCAGGGCCTTCCAGGGGAAACGTGCGTGCATGCGTGCGTGCGTGCGTGTGCGCGCGCTTTCTACAGACACAGGAAGCAGTCATTCATTGTTATGCTGCTAGAGAAATAAGAGTCAATGTCTTAGTGTTCCCTTTGATCTCAATATGCTTAGGCCTTGATTACATTAGTCTTCTAAATATACCTTAATCTGATCTTTGGAAAGAGGTTAGAAACCTTTTTCTAAAAGACCCTTCCTGGATAGCAGAGGATGGTGGAGAAATAAATGCTGCTTGTTAGTGTCCATGAATTATACACGACTTTATCCAAGAACCTTTAGTACATGTTATAAATTTTAAAGTTCAAAAGGTTAAGCAGTGGGGAAAATCTCACAGGGAAACTCACTTCATTTAGAAGTGTAGCTGACACAGTGCTTCTTAACAGCATGTATTTCCTAATGTTGGCACAGTACGTTTTGGCCAACATTTTCTTTTTGTCATCCATCTATTACTCTTCACTATACAGGAGGTAGCAGAGATGTGACTGTTTTTCTCCCTAATGTTACGATTCTGTGAGGTTTAGTGATTAGTATGTTTACTTCTATAGTTAATCATTGAAGCAATAAATGATTTCTGGCTTTGCCACAGGAAGGAACACGTTTTGTGGTCCTGACTACAACCCACTCTGCTCTGACACTATCATGAATAATACTTCTTCGGGGGCCCAGGGATACTCAGTTGAAAGAACTTATAATACATCTTTGCTCCAGATTTGTTCTATCATGAATGTTTCCCAATACATGGCAAACCAAATGAAATGTGAGTTTAAGGCTGCTTTTGCTTTAAACTTGAGTGAAATGTTCAGCCAGGAGAAGTTGTGACTTGGCTGTGCTATGTATGCCAAGGGGACCAAATACAGTTCAACCTCTCTGAGGGAAAAGTCTTATAAACATAAACTGGTATTATCACTTGAAAAAGCCCACTGTGATTAGGGAGCTAAGTACAAGAAGTGATTCTTCCTCTCATTTAATGGCTCATTTTTTTTTGTCCCTCTATATTTTAGAAAGTTGGGAAAAGCTGCAGCAATGATCCTGTTAGCAAGAAAAATAAATTGAAAAGAAGCAAAGATTATTTCTGTGCACATGTCCCTTGCATTCTGTTATGGACCACTTATTTATATAAAGACTCACTGAATCAAAGATTCATGAAGGTCTAGAAGCTGAGCGTTTTATCCCCAGTGACTAAGGTCCATGTGCAGACTTACTGAGGCATAGCACTGATTGAGAATTTAATGTTTATTTAAAACAGAAATGCCAAACCACTCCACCCTCAACCTTTCAAACATCTAACAAGAAGCTTGTTCTTCGGCAACAATGTCAGAGCAGAGGAGTAACTCCGGTTATACTATAACTCAAAAGCAATACTACTGGAAATACACCTAGCACTGCATAGAGAAAAAAAGTATGATACGATTTTTAGAGAATGAGCTACAGAAAATCATTCAAAGGCATTTCTGCTGCCTCACCTTTCACTTTTTATCTAATGCACGGCTGCCACCTTTAAACTGGTTTCTGTTTACACAGATGTTTGGTGGGGGAAAAAATCATATGGCTGTCCCAGGCACAATTTGGGAAAGTGCAAGTTGTCTCTAAGGCACAGAACTTAAGATTTTTAGATTAATAGCAAACTTCGGCTTTCTGAGGAAACATGCTAGAGGAAACGACCACAGCAAGCCACTGCTAGGCTTGAGGAATACAGGAACGTGAAAGGCCAGTCCTTTAAAAAAAAAAAGAAAAAAAAAAAAGTTGCATTTACATGATGAATCAAAACACATTGTTAGGGTTTATAGCAAACCCCAAGTCCCTAGAAACTTGTAGCTTAACCCAGGGTTGGCCCCTTCCTTTATTTTAAGAAAAAGGCTTCGATGATTACATTAGTACCATTGAAATGGGTTTCCCAGAACGAGAAAACAATGGGAACGTCAAACCAAAGAACCCATTGAACCGAGTTGCCCATCCCCAGCCATGGGGTTTTCCCAGAGCATCAGCCTTTACATCAGTTTCAGGGAAATGGCAAAATTTCCACTGCACAGGTCCTCCCAAAAATATGAAACAGACATCATTTTTTTTTTTTTTTTTGGTTTAGGGAAAATGAAACAAAGATTAATGTAGCCGCTTCTAGGGAGGTAGGATGTGAGGCTCATCAAGGCAGCTCCTGTGACCCAAAATACTACAGGAAGCTTTCACATGAGCCGAAGTGGAAACTCAAAGCTCACATCCTTAAGGAAAAGCATCAGATGCTTCTAGGACACTTTCTCTGGGAAAGCTAGCTCACGCCTGTCTATAAGGACACAATGACTACACAATGACTAGAAGGAGCTCTTGGCCAAATTCCTTTCACTTGGCAGGTTCTACCTGTTCTGTTAGGCTTCAGGGACTACCAGGTCTTGGCGCTGGCCTTGGGTCACTCAAGTAGGAAAGATGATGCAGATTCACTGATATGGCTTCATAAAACACCAAAAAGGGGAAAAATACTGACTAGACACACAGGAAGGGAGTGGTTGGGGCTGCTGATGTCAAGATTAGAACCCTAAGCGCCACGATGTCAGAGGCCTAAGAAGTCTTCTCATGGGCAGAAGACTCAGTCACTCGAGGCCCTCTCAAAGATACCAAGTCGAGCCAGCTGAAGGAGATGTCTCCCTCACGGCTTTCTCTTAAGGCCATTCCTACTGCCCCACTGACTCAATGCTCTACGAGGCACCTCATCTCTTGGCAGTCGGTATCTTCCAAAGCTAGGCAAACCCACCCTGCCTCGCCACAGCCTGAAACGCCAGCTGTGTGACGAGGAAAGGCCTGCCCTTCCTTCTCTCCTGCTCACTGAAAAAATTTCAATTAACCTTCAGAAGAAAAGCAATCTAAGCCCACTGTTCCTCCTAACTCATGTAGCTGCACGAAGTAGCTCCACTTTCTGAAAAGAAGCCCTAGATTGACTCCATCCGATGGATCTTCCTGGCCTCAGGGCTCCTGAGAGGGCTCAGGACACTTCACCACTCTCCAGATGACCCTGGACAAGCCACATCTGGTTCCAGCCCATTCCAGCTTTACACTTTTCCCTCCTCCACCCAGAGGTGCAATGCCTGGTTTTGAATTCCCAAGGCAGCTTCCAATTCATGGTGAAAATGATAAATGGGATACAAGCTGCTACCAGCAAAATTAAGGTGAGCATTGTGTCTCCTCTTCAAAGGTGGGCCCGCCAGATGAGGTACAGAGCTGCTGCTGCGATGGCAGTCACTGAGGACAAAGCCAGGGCTGTGGGGCCCTTCCATTCTCCCAAACAAAACCACTCCTAGATCCTATCTAACAGGCAGTGCCGCTCTCCAAGTGTACATGGACAGTGCGCCAGAGCCTCTGCCTTGCGCTCCTTGTCTGCAAGTGAACAAAGCCAGGAAAGCGCGCTCTGCATTCAGTAAGTGTGCTGTGAAGTTCTCTGGATCCCAGTTTCCTGGGGGCTAGACAGGCTCAGGAAGCTAGAGGCTGGGTCGACAGGAATCTGTTCCCAGGAGGCACCAGGAATCTGAATCTAAGTCAGGCTTTGGATCCATGTCCACCTCTTCCTTTGCTGTTTGAGTTCCTTTGGAATGCATCCCCACCTGTTGAGATAAAACACAGTTCCACATTAACAATACTGCTGCCTGCTCACAGCAGTTCAGGACTAAATCTTCAGTGTCAGCCTCTAAGGATCTGTAGCCACAGGTTTGTGAGAAGCTCATAATGCTAACTGAGGTGAAGTCTACGCCTTTACAGTTCCTGCAGATAGGATGATAAACTGTCTTGGTTTGCCCAGGACTGCAGGATTTTCTGGGATTTAGAACTCTTGTTTTAAAATTGAGACAGCCCTGGGCAAAACAATCCTCCTTGCTGGCTACAGCTGCCAAGCTCCCATGTTTACGTCAAATGTGTAGATTATTTTCTAAAGTATTTTCATAGACATTATTTCATTTAGTCCTCAAAACAACTACACAAAGTGGTGGCATTATTTTCTTCTTTTAGGCGAGAAACCAGGGATCATAGAAACAAAGTAATTTCTTCAAACACATAAAGCTGGTAAATGGAAAAACCAAGGGCTGAACTGTATTTCCCTATCCTAGTGTAATACTATGGCTCTTTAAATACAATGCATGCAGCATCACCTGTGAAGTATTTGTACCAAAAACGTTTAACTTCAATCTAATAGAGCTGTAAGTTTATAAACTTCCAGTTTATAGAAATGACAGGGTGACAGAAGACCAAGTTAAGCAATGTCCCAAGAAAACAAGACAAATCCAGAATGTGGGACATTCTGTTAAACAACTGACCCCATTTCTTTAAGTCAATGCCATGAAAATTTTTTTAAAAAGGTGATGGTAGTGGAGGGAATTGTTCTCAATTAGAAGAAATAAGTGACATAACAATGTAATGTGGGGTTCTTGACTGGATTCTGATAGGATAAAAACAGTTATAACGGACATTTTTGTGGGAAAACTGGGAAACTTTGAGTATCAACTGGGTACTGGATGAGACGAGATTTTTAGTGTTAATTTTCTTAAGTGTGATAATAGTATTATGGCTATCCAGGAGAATGAATGTCTTTATTTTTGCATATGTGTAATCAAGTATTTAGGAAGGGCTATATCATGACTTTTATAATTTACTTGAAAATAATTTAGCAAAAAAAAACCAACAAAAAACTACACATTTTAAATACACATATTCTAAACACAGAGACACTTGAAACAAATATGGCAACATGTTAATAATTGTTGAATCTAGATGGTGAATATATGGGTGAACCCGTAATGTTTCAAGTTTTTCATAGTAAGAAGGAAAAACCCCCCCAAAAATAACAAAAAACAATGGAAGTTAGGTGATAAAAGTAATTCAATCCAGGTGCCTAAACAAGGCCCAGGGCTTCTGGGATTAGTTTCAAAAGTTACAACATTAAAAGGTAAGTACTACTTGCAAAGGAGTAGGTCTATTTCAGTCCTTGGTGTTTTGTTTTTGTGATTCTTCAAAACAGAATTAGAAATTGAATTATTCTTTTAATGTTCTCACCTGCTGCCCTCCTTCTAATTTCTTGTTCAGCTTCTGTAGTTGGGTAAAAACCTGGAGGTTTTCTTGCTGTAGCTTCTGTTGTTCAGCCAGACACTTTAATACCAGGCCCTGCAATCTCTCAACCTCTACCTGCAGAGTGCTGCATGCACAGGCAGGAGGAGTCAGGGGTATTCCTTTCCCAGCACATGTTCCTGCAGGATTCAGCCGAGGTGGCTAAAAAGTGGAGAGAGAGGTAACAGGAGGTTCTGTCCGGATGCCACAGTAATAAGGTATTAATAAAATATAGATACACATTAAGTCAGCGGTTCTCAACCTTCCTAATGCCGCAACCCCTTAATACAGTTCCTCATGTTGTGGTGACCCCCAACCATAAAATTATTTTCATTGCTACTCTATAACTGTAATTTTGCTACTGTTATGAATCGTAATATAAGTATCTTTTTGTTTTCCGATGGTCTTAGGCAACCCCTGTGAAAGGGTCATTCGACCCCCAAAGGGGTCTCGACCCACAGGTTGAGAACCGCTGCATTAAGTAAATGCAAGAGAAACAGGAAACTACCAGGATTACAAAGGCACCTGGCTCTAACATAACAAGGCAAGAAAACTCTCAGTGCTTCAGTCTGCGACGCTAAAAGAACAATTATCTATTTTGGAGGACTTTGTGAAAAAGTTTAAAGTATACTGATAACTTCCCATTTAAAATGCTGAAGTGGGGCAACTAGACTGAAGAACAAAAGGACAGCAACTTGTCTGTTCCCCCTCCCTGATTTGCAAACACTGTTCCCCTCCCCCAATTCCCCCTAAAATCTTTAAAAATAATAATAATAAAATGCTGAAGTGGGGGAAAGCATGATTTAGTTTGGAACATGTCTTTCTGATCAGTGAGGACACTGACCCAAAGGGTCAATATTCATGAAATGTAGTGGATGACACTGGAAAAGATCTGAGAGGTGTTCAGTAAACAGGATCGCCAAAATAATTCAAGAAGACTAATTGACAGAGGAATTGACGTTTCAAAGGTTTTATTACCTCATCTGGGAACCTTTTCAATTTTCCTAGTCTGAATTTTTCTCTCTTTTTCTATTATACTTTGTTTATAGCAAAGGTCAGCACAAGACAGTCCATATGTCAAATCAGGCCTACTGCTTGTTTTTGTAAATAAAGTTTTATTGGAACACAAGCATGTTCATTCATTATGTATTATCTATGGCTTCTTTTGTGGTACAATGTCAAAGTGTGTAGCTGCAAAAGAGACTATATGGTCCACAAAGGCTAAAATAATTACTATGTGGCCCTTTAAAGAAAAAAGTTTGATGACCCCTGGTTTACAGTTTTATTGAGGTATTTACCACAGTTTGATTTCTATCAAGGTTAGGTATACACTGTTGCTCCCTTACTAGACTACAAGCATTATTTCTTATATTTACAGCCCCCAACCCTCCCTAGCAGAGTCATGAAAAACTGGATTTGAATTTTGGAATTTCTGAGGCAGATATAAAAGAAAGACAGTTGGCTGGGGATAGAAAGGTGCCAGCCTGTCAGAAATGTGAAAGGGTAAATACTTTTCCAGGACAAATCAGTTTATCCTCTACTAGAGGTGTTAAGCACTACTGAATAGACAGCATAATGAATTGAAACAGGGCAGCTGGGAGACCAGTGAAGCTAGAGGAGACAGTGAGGCCAAGAGAACTGGGCAGAGCTTGTAGCCACTGTTTACCTAGTTGTGATTCAAAGGCAAAAAGCTCAGTTACCCAGGCTCCTACTGGGGGCTTGTGTTCCGAAGGCGCTTCAGAGGCCACTTTGAGTCCTTGTAGCTCTTCATAGGGCAGGGTATCTTTCTCAGATTCTGAAAAAACTCCACTTAGGGGAGATGGGCTGTCAGGCATGGGGATGAATTCTGCATTTTCCAGCTCCTAGGTTTAAGAGAAAGAATCTTGTCAGTTCTGTGTGAGCCATTTCCTTTCTCCCAAACTCTGTTCTTGCTATAGCTTTCACTCTGTCGTGACAGCAGCACCCTCTAGTGGGGCAGGACAGCTGTGGTTACAATATAGCTCACCCTGCCTGCTGCCCCCAGCCTGCCATCCCTTCCTTGGAGGAGTTACAGTGATATGAATTCAAATTCAAGAACAGAGTCGGGAGTGTCTGGCACGTTTCCCGAACACACTTATACTACACAGGCTTTTCAGTGAGTTGGAAGCTTTAAGGTGATGTTAGCAAGGCCAACTGCCAGGCTTCTGAAGGCTGAGGCTGACGCTTTAGGTAGCATAATTTGCTGCTTCCTCCATTCTTACTCCCAGATAGCTATTAAGTTTAGTTATCAAGTTATTATATAGGGAGCTATAAATCTATATTCTTTGACAAAAAATTTTAAATTTCACAAACTATAAATGTCCACTGTAGGAAATGAGAAAATAGATGGGCAAAGGGGATGATAAAAATCACCATCAATTCCATCACTCATAGATAACCCGTTAAAATGATCAAGTCTCCACAGTAGATAGTCTTCTACACATTACATGTTTTCTAGAACAGGGGTCGGCAAACTTGAGACGGAAGAGCCAATCCTGTCCCTCACAACAATTTAAAAATTATTCGAGAGCCATAAAACAAATGAAATCACCATCATGTGAATAATATCCTTTAAAAATTTTATAAATGAAACCATGATAGTTTTTATTTTCATTTTCAATTTTACTTCAGAGCCACATGCACGTACCCAAAGAGCCGCATGTGGCTCGCAAGCCGCAGTTTGCCTACCCCTATTCTAGAAGAATGGGAACATACTGCGCAGACATTCCATCCTTTTCTGCATAGCCATGCTATAACCAACTTTCTATATAACTAAATATACTCCAACCTTTTTATTGCCTGCATTCCAACTCTCATAATCTATTTCTTTATTGCAAAGCATTCCCACTGCCCCAACATTTCACTTTTATAAACCACTGCACAGAATCTGTAAGCTTAATCTTTGCAAACATGCATTACAAAAACTGTCTTCAAGGAAGGTTGTATTCATTTACATTCATTTAAGTAATATACCGGTAGGTATGAGAACATTCTGCATCTCTTCTTGTCAGGAAGAAAAAAGGTTAGATTTGGTGATTTTTGTTCCAGGTAGAAATCAGGTCTAGAAGCCTGCTGCAAAACGTGTGACTAGGACATGGGACACTAGAGGTTCTGACAACTGTTTTCCGTCCCTGCAAAGGGCCTGATACTTTATCTAAGGAACCTCTACCAAATGAATTACCTTTCGAAGCCAGCCAGGACAAGAGCTGCTGGCCCCACTGCTGATGCCCAGGGCCTCAGTGGGGCTGACTAAACCTTCCATTCCGCGGTCTGCCTCCATCGTTCCTCTGAAGCCTCCACTTGGGTCAGGAGTTTCAGATCCCTGACGACTGTCCTCCTCTTCTCCCCCGCCGCCGCCACCACCGCTGCCGCCCGGGCTGGAGCTCTGAACCACTGACAGATACACAGCACAGAAACACAGAGCTTTGCTATGCAGCCAGGAGTCACCGTCTTACAGCCCACTGACTCCTAGAGAGGTTCCTATTGTTCATGAAGTGGAACAGTAACAGTGTAAGTCAGATACTGGGGACTAAATGTTAGTTTCTACACGAGGTATATAGTATGCCAGTATCTTCATGGTAATTCACTTTTACTTTCCAAACCTGCTTATGCCTGTGTTCATAGCAGATAATCAGTGTTCTAAAGCATAACTGAATAATCACCCCAACCACAGCTCACCAAACCTGGCACCCATCCTTTCACAGACACACGGACTCCTCCACAGAGGTTCATCTTATATACAAGGCTCTTTCATGTTTCAGCCAAAGACCACTTCAAGTTGCCAGATAAACGCACCACTAACTCCCTTTCTGGGGAAACATTTGAATGGAGAAGTCTTCAACCATTAAATTCATTAAATTCTTTGATGACTATTTGTAAGAATTTAAAAAATATGATGGCTGGTTCTTTCATATCATGACGTATATTTCAAGTTACCTTAATGAAGACTAGCTGATGTGTAGTCAAGAAATGAAACTGAATTTTAATGTGGGCCAAAGAAAAATATACTTAGAAAGTAAATTTGCCAAAGCTAAAAAAACAATTGTACGGTGTATTCTAAAGGTAAACATAAAGGACTGCTTATGATCACCAGCTATACTGGCTTAAGGACTGATGGTGCCACAGTGTCAGCCTACTGAAGCAGCACAACTATACATGCCAAAGCAAACTTCGAAGCTTGCTTTTGGTTTTAAATGGCTTTTAAAAATTATGTTATATTTGAGATAAACATAAGACTGTTTTTAACACATGTGTAAGTTTTGATGCCTAAAATAAACATACATGAATCTACCACTTGGAAGAACTAGAATTTTACTTTCCAATATGGCAGTTGCTAGTCATATATGGTTATTTAAATAAATTTAAAAATTCAGTTCTTCAGTCACAGTAGCCACTTTTCAAGTACTCAGGAGTCACATGTGGCTAGTGGCTATCATATCGGATAGCACAGATACAGAACATTTCCATTGTTGCAGAAAGAGCTATGGGACGGTACTGAACTGGAATATTTCCCATATTGCTCTATCTGTCCTGTGAATTCCTTCCTTCTCTGGCCTCCTACCCAGATGCAACCACTGTTTAATTTTGTATTTACCATTTCTTTTGAAAAAAAGCTTTATCACATCACATATTTATGTATCATTAAGCAATATACTATTTATTTTGCTGGGTTCTAAACTTTATAAAGAGGTATGTAGGCTACTGTAACTTGCTTTTTACATTTCACATTATGGAAATACTTGTAGATGATGTCCATTTTCATGCTTGTATAATATTCCATTGGATGGTTATAACGTATTCAACTAACACATACTTACTGAGCATTTACCATTTGCCGGGTATTCTTCTAGGTAATGTGGATAAAATTAATAAAAGAGACAAAAATCCCTGCCCTTATGGAGTTTACATTTTCTAGCCAATGTTGTGAGCTTTAATCATATTTTTTTTCCTTTAAATACTGTTCCAACAAAACAAAGCTCTAATAGAACAACTATACTTAGCAAAAAGATATTTTACCATTTGTGACAGATACTAATATGCACAAATAGATGCTGAGCAATGGATTATGAAAGGAAACCAGTAGCAGGGGTGATGTGCATGTGTATGTAAACTAAAGTTCAACAAATCTAGACCAGATTTTCAGCTACTTCTTCTTGGAGAGTTAATTTGCTTTTATTCTGGATCTTTATCTGTTTTGATTCCACAAAATATCAGAATCCAGGTTCTGAGACATCAGATTACACGTACTCTAGTGAATGGAAAACCAAAATGGAACACAGATTCAATTTCCTGGTATGGTCCCAAGTAACAGAGCACCATGAAGAAAGCAGCCAAAGGAAAATTATCAGAGAGCCTTGGGCTGATTTTCCTAACCACTTGAAAGTTGAAGCAACTTTTAATTCCGAGGGCATTTTGAAGAACTATATCTATAGACTGAAATACCCCTGGGAATACCATGGAAGTAGAGGGTAGACCGAATCCATAGTCCCTAAACATAGGAAGGAAGGGAACAATACATAAGTCACATTGCAAGCCACTTAAATTACTTCCATATGCTTGGTGGCAAAGATGTACTCTCCCTCTGACCACAATGTAAAGTAACTTATTGTGAAATCCACCAAAATATGATCCTCCCTCTGATCACTATATTCCTCATTTCCCAAAGATATTTCATACTTCCTTTTTTTTTTTGAGACTGCACAGAATCTAACCCAAAGAACCATGCCTCACAAACTACCGGTACCTGAGACACTGCTACTTACCAGTTCCAATGGATAAGCCACTGCTGTTGGAACGGATGGTCTTAGAATTCAATACTTTCTCTGAGGAAAAATATTCAGTAGGTAAGCATTACATACAGCTATAGGCAGGAAAAGTGAGGAGACCAGGACAGGGAGTTAATCTAAGAGATAACTGCTATCACTCACTCCAGATAAAATTACTTACTCTTTTAGTTGTTAATGTCATAAGCCAAGCATCCTTAGCTACTCTCACTATATTCACTATGTAAAATAGCAATTCTCCACCTTAACTGTTCTTTGGAGTCACTTGGGAAGCTTTAGAAAGTAATAGTGCCTAGGTCCTACCCCAGAGATTCTGATTTAATTGGTCAGGACAGTGGGATTGCTGAAAGCTCCTCAGGGGATTCGAATGTGCAGCCAAGGTTGTGAACCACTGATCCAAAAGAATGGACTTGTAAACCCTACGCAGGCCTTTATAATTTAGTTCATAACCAAGTAATCTTTATGCAGAAAGCAGTTATGATCTAGTTTCTTTTTAAAGGCATACTAAATGTTTCTCAAAACAGCATGTACACAGACAATGAAATTAGTAGGACTAGAAGTAATAAATTTCTGGCAAGGGAGGAAGAATCCAAAGTTATTTTAAAAAATGGTCAAGAGCTGGCAAATGACAAAGCTCAGGAAGTGACAATGTTCTGTTCCTCCCACTAGGCATGGCATCACTGACATTAGAAGACTTACAGAAATAGCCTCTTTTCTTCAGGACTGTTTCCAAGAATGCGGCCATTCAATGCCTTAGGTATGGTTCTATCCTCTGTCAAAGACACCCCAACCCACAGATATGGAACCCTTACCAACAATGAGAATGGTGTGCCAGCCACGGCAAGATAGGTCTGGAACATGATGCAGAGATCCAAAAATAGGCCGAGGCCATGAGGTACAGATATCAGAGCCATGAGGTCTCTCTGTGGGCGTCATTGCCAGGCGACCATTACCACCATTGCCCCAGGCAAATATGTGATTATCTAGAAAAAAATCAAATGGCAAGTATGTGATTATCTAGAGAAAAATTAAACAGCAGACAGTTTAACAGAACACTGGCTTCCCAATTCTTTGGGTTCCCCATCTTTATGCCCTAGAGCTGGAAAAACTTCCTATGTATAAAACAAGAGGAAAGCTGTTTATGCCACCCACGGAAAAATGGCCACCACTCCTATGTACTGCCATCCGTTCATTTATTCATTCGCTCATTCAATGACTTTCTTTAGTCATTCAAATATTTTGGGGGCATCTACTTGACAGGTACTGCTGGAGGTGCTGGGGACAGAACAGTGAACAAAACAGTCACTGCCCTTTTGGAACTGATGTTCTAATGGGGAAAGATTGATAAATAAAAATAATATTTCAGGTAGTAAAAAGTGCTATAAAGGAAGATAAATGGTATAGAAAAGTAAGTGGAAATAAAAAATAATAGTGGGGTATTATTGTTTTAGATAGGGCAGTCAGAGAAATACTTGTTGACCTTTGGCAGACAGAGACCTGACTGAAGCGAGAGACAGAGTCATGTGGATATCTAGGGGAAGAGCTTTCCAGGCAGAAGAAACATCAAGTGCAAAGGTCCTGTGTAGGTCACATGAGCATCACAAACAAGGAACAAGAAGGCCCCTGTAGCTGGGCAAAGTAACAGAGGGGACAGTGGTCAAAGAAGAGATCAGGAAGTGGCTGGGGTCCTGGTCATGCAGGGCCATTGCAATGACCGGATGTTACTGAATGAGACAGGAACCATTCTGAGCAGTAGGTATTTTTAAAAAATCCCTCAGGTGACCATGAGGAGAATCGACTGCAGGGGACCAAAGGTGGAAGCAAGGAGACCAGTTATAGTACTGAAGATGCTCAGAAGTAGTTGGATATATTCTGAAGATAATCAATAGGTTTGCTGGTGAATGGGATGTGGGTGTAGGATGGTGCTGCCATTACTGAGACGGGAAGGCTGCAGGTGGAACAGGTTTGTACAGAAAATCAGACGTTTGATTTTGAATACAGTATTTGAGATGCCTACAACTTCTTATCCAAATCAGGACATTTTAAAAATGAAAATGGGGTGTTATTGATGATTAAGCCAGGACAATAGGCATGAATGAGGACTCACCTGGGAAAACTGGTCTACAAAGCCACCCTATCTTTAGACATCTAAGTGGAGGAGCTGTTGAGTATGTGAGTGTGGAGGTGAGGGGTGGTCACACAGCTATCAGTGTATGGGGGGAATTGAAGGTAATGAGCTCACTTAGGGAGTGAAGGGAGATGGCAGAGAGATAGGAAGGATTGAGCTCTAGGCATTCCAGGGCTTAAGAGGAGTTGGATACTGCCATCATGGCACCTGATCTATCTGCCTGTACTAGTCTATGTTTGTCTCCCCTACCCTACTAGACTATGAGCTCCTTGAGGAGAGGGGCTTTCTGAGACTCACTTCTATATTCCCAGAGCCTAAAAGAGGGCATGGAGCACAGCAGGCACAGTTTGCTGTGTGAAGGAGGTGGTCAAGTACAGCGCAGGGGAGTACAGGACCATTTATCAAGAGGTAACATGCCCAGCCACAGAATCCAACTCTAGAACCCTTCCTTCACTCTGAAGTTTAACTCATGAAGTACAGATCTACTGAAGAAACATGACCCCTCTGAGGCCCTGTCAGAAAGTGCTACTGAATTTGCTGCACTAAATTTAATCCTCAGTGACATCATGACTCTGTTTTTCTAGGTAACATCTTCATTTATCTAGTCTGACGTAAAGAGTTTGCTTCCTAAAATCCCTTGTTTTGGGACAAGCAGGGAAAGTTAATGTGCCATCTGAAAGCTGGTTCACTTAATTAATTAAATATGGTAACAGCTCACTTATCTGGCACTATCCCTGGATCCCTCTTGTGTATACAACAGTCACAGACCAAAAGCAAATAAAGGCATCTCAGAGCATGAGCAACACTAAAACTGAAATGAGTCAAAAGATAAGCTGAAATATGATTTGTTGTTCACCAGTCACAAGAAAGAAGTAGCTACAAAAATCAAAAAGGTTTGGAAGGTGATACAGGAAGGGGAGAGCTAGAGAAAAAACAAAAAAAGAAAGAGGGAAGGAAATGAAGACTAGCAGAAGTGGCAGTAAAGATGAGAAGCTGTCATGGGAGCAAGAAGATGCTATGAAGAAAAAATAACTATGAGAGGAAAGAGAAGAAAATTCAATTAGACCAATTCAGAAAGCTGAGACACACAGAGTATATACAACCCTTCAAGCCTTAGCAGTCTTTAAGGACATCACTGCAGAACAGCGGACCCCAACCAAGGAGCAAGGTTAAGTCATGGTGTTCTCCTTTCCAGCCACCTAGCCAACATTTACTGAAACCCACGTGGTGCTGAACAAGGTATATATATGTGTATACACACACACGTATTTAATAATTCTTAAAACATTTTACCAAAAAAGTTAAAGTAAAAAAACTAAGGACTTAGAATATTAACCTGCCATTATCTAGAAATCTGACCTTCTTAAAACAATCACTATGTTGGACACATGAAAATTTAATGGAAGCTCCGTACGCACAATGAGCCACCAACTTAATACAAATAAAAAGGTAAACATATGATCCAGCTACACAAGTAATCAGTCCACCTCTTTCCCAACCAAAAATGGAAACACAGGCATCCATCCAGAAAGCCTGAAAGGATGTGTAGGAACTCACCATCAGTGGCAGCAATGGTAAACTCATCACCGCAGGAGACTCTGATCACTTGCTTCCCACCTAGGGGTCCCCCCAACAGGTTGATTCCTAGACGCTTTTTATAATTCCCAACGCCTAGCTGTCCACACTTGTTGCAGCCAAAGGTCAGCAGGCGGCCTCGCTCTGAGAGAGAAGCAAAAATAAATAACGGGGCACAAATGGGTCATGGAACAATGCAGAGCTCCATGGAGTAATTTACGGTCGTCAGAGTACGTATACAAATATGAAGCAAGCCGCACGATCCTGAACCCAGGGAAGCTCCAGTATCTAAGACTATGACCAAGAGAGTCAGGAAGTGACTCAATGTAGTATTTTCTTTCTACTACTGTATTTTAAATATAGAAAATGGGTACTACCTAACTTAGAAAACTTACAGACTAATTAAGAGACAATAGTTGTCTGGAATTTTAGGTGTGGAATTCTCATTAAGGCATGTATTCATTATGCATTTATAATGATTATCCACAAACATTACTTGAATGCCTTAATTTGTTAATGAGATAATACTGGGTGCTAGGGGGAAATGAGGAGAATGTATTATATATATTGTTAAGAAAAATACTTGATGGAAAAAAAGAGCCTGAACTACTAAGGCCTGTGTATAAGGTTGTAAGTCAACTCACCATCAATAGCAGCTGTGTGAGTCTTGCCTGGGGCAATTGTACGGATCTTATAAAAGGACAACTGTTTGGCCAAGGTAAAGGAGGTTGTGTAGGGAACTTCGTGGTATGCCTAAAACAAGGTAAAACAAAAGTGGAGACTCATGAGATAAAAAACGGAGGGGTAACAGGCCGAGAATGTTATCATGGTGACCAAAGGCCTTTTAAACAAATTGTGGAAAAACTCAAGATTGCATCATGCTACTCAGAACAGTGTGCAATTTAAAATTTATGAACTGTTTATTTCTGAAATTTTCCATTTAATATTTCTCGACCGTGGTTGACTGGGTAACCAAAACTTTGGGAAGCGAAACTGTGGATAAGGGGGAATACTATAATGGTGATTTTGAAAATGCCTTTTCAAACCACACAGACACCCTCCCTAAACCTGGTGCCAGCCGAGTGGCACAGTTGGTTAGAGCATGAGTTGGTTCGATTCCCATATGGGCCAGTGAGCTGCTGCTGAGCTGCCAATGAGTGGCCAGATGGCTCAGCTGGTGAGAGTGTGTGCTCTTAACAAGGTTGCCGGTTCGACTCCCACAAGGGATAGCGGGCTGTGCCCCCTCGCAATTAGACTGAAAGCGGCAACTGGACTTGGAGCTGAGCTGCACCCTCCGCAACTAAGATTGATGGACAACAATTTGACTTGGAGCTGATGGGTCCTAGGAAAAACACAATGTTCCCTTCTCCGATTCCCCAGTTAAAAAAAAAAAAATCTTTAAAAAAAAAATTCTTATCTTTTCCATTGAGTTAGGAAACTTGTCTTTTAATTTGAGTCTTTAAAAAATGATAAAAATTCATCATGCTAACACAAAAACTAAGACTTAATATTGGTGGTGAATTTCATGACATTCTTGTAGGAGGTGAATGGTAATTACGTTTAATAAACCTGTATGGGATCAGTGATTTAGGAGGAATAAACCTGAAAAATTCTCCAGGGAGGCGATGCATAGAAAGATGTTTCTTTTGATGTTGCTTTTCTTGTGCCTACTTCAGTGATAAGGTAGAGCCTGAATTCCGTCACTTGATTCTTTTAGTCAATTTATTTATTGAAGTATAACATACTGTAAAATATTGTACAGCTTTTTTCTGTATGCATATAAATGTAAAACTACTACCTAGACACCATTTCTATCATCTTAGAATCCCTCTCCCACCACTTCTGTTAATACCCATGTCTCTCCTCTCAGAAGTAACCACTATTTTAACTTCTGACATCAAAAGTTAAAAGCCTGTTCTTAAACTTCATATAATTGGAATTATATAGTGTGTACTCTTTTGTGGCTGGCTTCTTTTGCTGAACATAATGTCCGTGAGATCCTCATTTTACTCTTAAGTCAAATTGCATGGTCACTAACCAGCATTCCCAAAGAAATTCCGACAGTGTGGTTAGGACACCAAAGGAGGTACTCACTTCATGGTTGATGATGCCAGACATGCACTGATTCAGACCCAGTTTGTTGAACTCATTGAGTCCACAGGCCAGCACTTTGCCTGACTGGGTCAGCAGAAATGTCCCATCACAGCCACATTGAACTGCAACAATAATCAAGGCCTTGGGAACATCCACCTATAAGAAAACAAAAATCCCCCAACCATAACTTGTATTAAGAAAAAAACCCTTCAGATCCTTTCAAAAGTGATATCCTACATTTAGGAGAATGACTACAGGGAAGTACAGGCTGCTCTATTCTCTTCAGATTTGCACAGTAGCTTAGAGGCTACTGTTTTCAACAGGGAGCTCAAGTTTTATAATACAGTAAAAGAAAGCAATTCCAGGTCGGCTGAACAGATAACCCAGGTTAAAGTTTGTTTTACGATAGGTCCTACTTAGAAATCCTTGGAAAACACTGGGAAAGGACAAGCTTTACTCCATTGCTGATTTTGTCCTCTCAGCTAGAAGGCCTCAGAACAATTATAAAAGAAATTCAGTAGTCCTGTGGGGTCCCAGTCTGGTCATACCGTAAGTGAGGTGACAGAGCACTGGGGTACCAGCCAGGACTTCCCAATGCTCACATCCTTCTGTAGCTAACTAGACAGGGCTAGAGAATGGTGGGGAGACGTGATGGATATCTGAAAACTCAAACCTCCAAGTTTCTACTACAGCCTTTTCAGAACAGGAATAGCCAGGAATCCCATTGAGAATAAATATATATGTTAACTTTTTAAATGTAAATAAACATTGCTAACAGAGAATGGTACAGTCAATTACAGTCCACCTTCAAGCGGGCAAGCCTGTACCCTGGGGTGAGTGTGAGCTGTGCTGCGCTCTTCCCCCAGCTGGTGTCAGCTCCTGTGCCAGCTGCTGCAGGGCCAGCTCGCACAGTGCTGAGAGTGATGAGCTATTCTGCTTCATACATGACCCCTAAATACAAACTATCTCACATGATGTTCACCTGTGGAAACAGGAGGGGAAAATGGCTGTTTTGAGTTAAGAGCTAGTATATTGCTTTCCAATATCTTTCCAAGGAATTTTCCAGGTGTATTTAGCTTGATGTGACTTTTTCACTGTACAAGCTGATCTTAACTCTCATCCCCTAGTAAGATGTGGCTCCAGTGTTCACAGTGGCTGTCACCTTTCTCAGCTTTTTATGGTTTAGTCAGATGACAAGACCACATAGTGCTAAATCAGGAATCCTGGATTGTCAGTGTCCCAGACAGGAACTATTTCAGAAATAAACACCTTGCTATAAGGAGTCAGGGAAAGAAGACATATTACTGGAGTCTATATGACCTAGATAGCCTTCAGGAAAAAGTTGTTTCTGATTTTACCTTTTGTGGTGTATAATAATCCTCTTCTGAATCCAAACCCAGTCTTCCTGAGACACACAGAAGAAAGGAAATTATTAAAATGAGGGCCTTCTTCCCAATGAAGACATTCTATAAGATTCTTCTTTTACTGAATTAACACTTCTCAAGTAGCGGCTGCATGATGTGTTTACATGCACACAAACCTACAGGTAGGCTGTGTGCCTGGGAATAAGCGGACCGAGACAGGGCTGCACCTACCATATTCGCCACAGCCCCAAGAATAGACTTCTTTGTTTCGTGTCAAAACCACCACATGGTTATCTCCACAGGAGACCTGCTCCACTGGATTATTCAGGAAGAAGTTCAGCTGCATGGGTTCTAGTACCTCAGAGCCAGCAGCCTTGTCCACCCCCATGCAGCCATAATAATCAGATCCAAAGGTATAGAGCTGACCTTCATCTGCAAAAGGAAAGCAGAACCCATCAAAGGAATGACTTGTTTTGTCCAATCAGAAAGCTGGACAGGACTGGAATGAGTAGCCCAGCCAATGGTCTCATATGAGATGATTACATCAGAGAAATTCGAAGGATAAACTGTGCAAGTCTAGAGTTGTTCGCATTTAGGGGGTCATGTGTACTGTTAATAAGCTTAAAAAAGTGGTAGTATTAACACATTAGAAAGGCTTACACTTTTACTGGGGCCATCTCTATTTTACAGAGAAAAAGAGAAGTACTAAGAAATCAGAAAGTGAGTAATGTTAAGACCAAAACTAAATTTTAGTTCTTGATTCCTGATTTAGTGTTATCCATACCTGACTAGGTGGTGAGGTTATTTTTCCCCACACCTGGGATATATGTGTATACAACATATTTCTCCTGATCCCACCTCTTCTCTGTTATCCACCTGCCTTCTCCTTGCTCATCACCCCCTAATACTCTAGCAAATTGGGCATGTTGTTATTAATATGTATATCTGATCATTGTCTTTGGTTCTTTGAATACTGTTTTTTATTGTAAAATCCCAACTAAAACCACACAGCATTAAGTACAATACCCAACATTGGATGCTTTCTGCTGATGGCTTACCTGTCACACAGACAGTGAAATCATCACCACATGACACCTGATGGATAGCTTTGCCTTGCAGCTTCTCCACATGCTTTGGCTGTCGGTAGGAGGCTTTGTCTCCATGGCCCAGCTGACCATGAAGTTTAGTACCCCCTTGCATGTTCTGTGAAATAAAGAGCTCTTGTGAAGTTTTAACTTTTCATGCCAAAAGCTAATCTTTGTTATAACTTATTAAAAAAAACAACAGTAGGTGGGGTGGCTGGTTAGCTCAGTTGGTTAGAGCGCAGTGCTCATAGCACCAAGGTTGCTGGTTCGATCCCCACACAGGCCACTGAGCTGCACCCTCCACAGATCGATTGAAACAACTGCTTGACTTGGAGCCGATGGGTCCTGAAAACACTGTTCCCCAATTTAAAAAAAGTAGGAAAAAAAATCAGCTGGAAATTTAGAAATGAAAAACAAATGGATAAGGGGAGTAAACCTTTTGCTGATAGGTAGTATAAAACCCCTGCCGGCAGGTAAAGATTTAAAAAGTATCCAGATTGATATCCATCATGCCTCAAAAGGACATATTTCCAATTTTGTCTTTCTCCTTCAAGTCTAAGGTAAACTATTTAATTATGGGTGACGGTGAAAAAAAATTCTTTATATAGTCTTAATTTATTTTCTGCATGAGTACAGTCTTTTGGAATCTTCACTATAAGTTTTCCTGAAATATGGAACAGTTATAAAGAATCTGGCCACATCAAAGAGGCTGCTATACAGCACTAAGAACAGTCCTAAATGACTTTTCAACAATTTATAGAGCTAAGTCATTTTTTTCATTCAGTAACTCAACTGTAAGTCCTTATGTAAATGTTTTTTTAGGCACTAATTTCACTGTATCTCTGGAAGCACATCCAGGGAGTAGTTCTTTAAGGGATAGTGTTTTAGGAAATAACAAGGTTAACACTCTACAACAGAGGCCAAGTCATTCATCCATTCTCTCAATCATCAACTGAGTTTGTCTACTCCATCACACACTGGGGATAAAGCCTGTCCTTAGGGAGAAGTTATCTGAAACTACTTGAAAAAATAAACTCCCTCAGAAAGAGGAGGAAGAGTGAAAACCAAGGGCCTAAGGCCAGATCAGGTAAAGGAAAAGCAGCCTACAACAATCCTGAGAAGGCCCAGCTGAAGACACAGGAGGAAAGCCAAGGGAAGCCAAATCTTCAAGGAGGAGGAAGTGGTCAACTGCACCAAATGCTGCTGGGAGATCAAGCAAGATAAGGACTTGCTTGTAAAAAGCACCTTATTTTGCACAATTTATAGGTCATTTTTTCAAGAACAGTTTCAATGGAATAGCAGGGATGAAAGCTGCATTGTATGTGAATGAGAAATGAGTGGGAAATAAAGAAATAGACAGCAAATACAGGTAATCTGTTCAAGAAGGTGAGAGATAGAGTGGAATCTAGAGGGGAACAAAGGAATATCCTACTCAAGCTATACCTAGCCACCTTCAATCACTGATGGAGGTCTTAGAATTTTCCTGACATGGTACGCTGCTTCATTTGTTCAGAAAGGTATTCCACAGACACTAGTTGCTCTGAACCTCATGGTAACAGAACAGACTAATTGTCTTTCTGAAATCACCCAGCTATAAACGAGCGAGTCCAATCTCCTGAGTCCAAACTTGCGCCCTTTTAATTCTTTCTCTCTCCTATTCATTCATATATTCAAAAAACATTTATAAGAGACCTAATAAGTACCAGGCTTGGGGCACACATCAGTGAATTCTAAACAAACAACAGAATCACTCTCTCAAAAGAGCTTACATTCATTGTGTCACCTCATGCTCCCACTCCCGCAGCACGTGCTCAACTAACAAAATCCTTAAACACTGTGGGACTAATAAACAATTACACTTACGTCACTGTTCTAAAGTACTTAGCTTTTACTTACCACCCAGGTGTACAGTTCCTTCTCCACTGTGACCACAGCAAAGTGGGTATTCCCTGCACACACCTGCCGGGCACTACAGCCACTCTTGATGACATCCAGTTTCTGGGGAGTAGATTTCCCACCACCCCAAACATAGACTTCACTGGTTCGCGATGTTACCACAGCAATGGGTGCTTCAGTCACAGTGCTTGACCTGCCAACAACCCCCAGAACAAAGGCACATTTAACATCAAAACTGTATCAAAGAAAAATGCTTCCAGTCTTTTCCCTGAGAAGAACTGCCAATTATGGTATGAGAAAGTATGTTCTTTCGCGACAACTTATTTCAACCCTCTATCATAGCAGGCTTCGCAATTCCTGCCTCAGGGCTTCATCACAGCTCAGCCAGATCAGATTCCAGTCTGGTCCATAACACCTACACTTTTCAACTGTTCAACATTCATCATGGTAATGATGTCCACTTTAGCACGAGGGTGAAATTATAGCTTTCTTTTTCTCAGAAATGACTATCTGACATTTAAGCAGATGTTGGCTTCTGAAAGGATGCCAAAGGCTAATTACTGGGATTCAACAATACACAGACCCAACAAAGAAAGATCCCCTGGTGGTAATTTAAGACATATTACTTTTCAAGAGTCTCTTGAGCATTACCTTGGTCTCTTTGTAGGTGCATTAAGCAGTGTGACTTTTTCCTCCATCTCTCTACCAAAAGAAAGGCAAAGATATATGAGTGAAATAATAGATTCCTACATTGCGCCAGTGTCTGTTTAATACATTTCACAGATTTAATCCTCTATAAACTATATGCCTCCTATGACATTAAAATACTTTAAGGAAAGCACCTCAATACAACTCAGTTATATAGGCCTGGCTTTAGACAATTCATTAAATTCAAGGGGCCAACAGGTTGGGGCCATTTGTTTTCTATCTCTGAGAGATGTTCCAGGCTGGAACAGAGAACCTTATGGACCTTTGTGAAGTACCTTGCAACATCTCCATCTAGTCTGCCCAATGACTCTCCAAACTCAACATCTCTAAACCTCAGTTCATTCTCTTTCTCCCATACAGCTTTTCTTTCTCACACTATTTCTGTAACTGCCACCCTCCAGTCTCCCAATCAGCTAGGCTAAAAACTTCAGACATGTCTGACTGTTATCTCTCTTTCTTCAATATTCAAGTTCTACAGTTTCTACCTATACGATGGCCTTTATACTCACCTCTCCTTTCCAGTCTTGTCACCTTAGTTCTGGGCAGCTTTCCTTCCCACCTGGACAATGGTAGCACCTCCTAATTGGTCTCACCACAGTTCCAATCCACTTTAATCAGTCTTACACTGATTTAACACTGATATTAGCACTGCTAAATAACTCTTAGGCATGTCTCTCATAACATGAACTGTCCTCTCATAAACATCCAATACTTCTGTACTATCTCTTAAAATAAGCACAGATTCCTTCGTTTGGTACTGAAGACTTTGTACCTCCGTTCCAACTTCCCTTCCTTCTACTTATTCCCCCCGTTTTAGCCCAGGGTTCAATTACCTGTAGCTCAATTCCTGGGGTGGTACTTAGACATCAGTATTTTTTGAAAGCTCTTGAGGTGTTCTTGAGAGCCCCAAGTCTAGAACCTAGCAAAATCTAGCAAAATAGGACTTAGTGTTTCCGGAATATTTTCTACAACTTCCTGTGCTTTATCTGGAAAGTTCTTTGTCTTATGTTTTTCCATCAAACTATGAAGTTACAAAAAAGTACTGTGTGTAAATCTACAATTATTTCAATAAAAATTACAATTAAAAATTATCAGTGGAAATATTTAAGAGATTAAAGTAGTGATTATACTGTTGGGAAATAAATCAGATAAAACATTTAAATATGCTTAATCAGCTCTAAATGGGGATATTGCCTGAACATACACAGAACATAAAAGGAAGGTCATGCACGGTACTGTATGTGGAGTTTGACACATAATTCTAGGCACTACAACATTGTTCTGGAAATGAACAAGACAAGATTAATTAAGTGACACAACAGAATAAATGTACTAATGTAACAGAAAAGATTGTGGAATTAGGTATATGCTTAATGTAGCTAACAGGCAAGACTTGAAAAAGAGCATAAGTAAATGTTTGAATATTGGGGAGCTATAGAAACAAAGAACTGGTAGGGAAGGAAGAAGGGAAGTAAGGCAAAAATAGTACAACAGGATCAAATACAGACTAGAACATTTAAGAAGGATAAAGAACACTTCCTCCCTTAAATTAGGGTTTGAAGCCTCCTCTAGGAAGTGAGGGATAAAGGGCCTCCTCCTTCCTACTACCTCTAGAGCCCTCTAACACAGACTCAATCTCAGGAAACAGCTTGTCAGGAATCCATCAAGCTCGACTTTGGGAAATGGGCAAAAGGTATCTGAAGAGGACCCCTCCAGCTCTAACCTACCATCTAAAGGGATACATTAAAAAACAAAGGCCTGGTCCAAATCATTACCACTATCCAACAACTGTTGAGTACCTTGTGTCAGGCCCTGGGCTGAGCACTTTATTTGAATTACCTCCTTTAATCCTCAACCCTACCTCACTTTATAGAGAAAAATAAGGAACAGAGATCTTAAATAAGTTGATAAAGATAATAACAGAATTCAGATACAAACCTAAGGATGTCTGAGTTCAAAGCCCTCCTCTCTTAATTAATACACTTGAATGCCTCAACTCTAAAGTAAAACTCACAGATGAGGGGAGCACTGGGTCCCAGGGTCTCATCAGTATAAATGTATAACAAAATAGCATTGGCTAAGGAAGTGAAACTCAGGAGCTACCCTCAAACAATGAAAGCAGAGAGGTTCGTAGAAAACAGACGATGGTAGAAAGTAGAATGGCCACGTCAGGAAACACCACCCTCTCTGTGGTGCTCTGATCAAGCCTCTGAACCTAACAGTTAACCACCTACGGAAAGACAACAGAGCAAATTCTTTGTATTTTACCTCCTGCGTTTCCTGAGAAGAGGGTGATCTAGCAATTCATCCGCAGTGGGTCTTTGCTCAGGATCCTAAAAAGTACAAATGGGGCTAATTTTAATTTAAAGGGAATGGGCAAAATGGGATCTAAAGAGGCATTTTACTGCCTCTAGAAGGCTGTTGGTTAATTATTCAAAGACCACTGTATATTATCCTTTTGTTTAAAAAAACATAATTTCTTACATCACATTTCATGCTTATTATCAACACTTGTACGTGAATGAAAATGTGCCTTCCTCGCTTGTTCCGTTAGGACAGTGGCTCTCAAACTTCAATATATACATAGAACATAATAAGCTTGTTACAAATAGAGATTTCTGGGCTTTGTTCCCAGAGATTCTCATCTAATTCGTCTGGGGTGGGGCCCAGGAATCTTCATTTTTTTACTTGTAAACCCCTCCTCCATTCCCTGGCGATTCTAATGCCTGTGGTTCATGGACCATACTTTGAATACTGACCTAGAGCTAAGCTGCAAGGCAAACTGTGAGATGTGAGAACTATAAACATTCTGCACATTAAGAACTCTAAATTACTTCTGACTATACTTTTATAAAATCAAGTTACAAAAATTAATCTTCATCACAAAAAATGAAGCTAAATTTAGATGGTAAAATCATTTTCATAAATTAATAAAGAATCTGTTGGTTGAAGCACACAACTATCATTAATTGCCAACACTTATTCTTCTGGGTACAAATACATCCTACCTGGGGAAGTGGATGTGGTTTTGTGCAGGTTCACCTACGTCATACCCCAAACACTAAAGCTGGAAAGGAAAACACTAAACCAAAATCAATACGTAAGTCACACTTACCTGGTCGAGGCACACATGGACCATTTGGATCAGTTCCAAAGAGTACTGGCTAGAATCAACTTCCATGGCCCGGATTCCTTGTACAATCTTCACACACAGGTTGAGTGGATTCTATCAGAAAATGATGATTGCATTGTTCTTGGTTTTACAAAGAAGACATTATAATCTACCAGCCTGGGCTCTGAGATATGTGTGACTATTTAAAGAAGTGGTAATAGTTCTACATTAGGTCTGACTTCTTTTTATAACGATTAGTACACATCAGCAAGAAATGGTTAGAGATGCACAGCTGCTATAAGATGGAATGAAGCCAACGGGCCAACATGGAGATACGACTATTTGCTAATAGCATTATACTCAGAATATACTATAATCTGACCCTTCAACTGAATTCCAAGAAAAAGAAAAGTAAAGTTAGCCATGCTTCTTGGCTTTAAGTACCTCCTTTGCCAACTAATTTGCCTCCTAATTTATATTCCCTAATAATGGTTATACAGGTGATACTCTGCTCCAACAGCCAAGGTAGTGAATAATAATATGCTAATGACAATATTATAATAATAATACTATTAAAACCTTTATTGAGACCACTATGTACTAGACAGGCATGTTATATATTTGATCTCTTTTAACCATCACAAACACCACAGAAGGAGGTTATTATCATTACCAATTCAGAGATGTAAAGTAACTTGTCCAAGACTAGAGGTAGTAAAAGAGCCATAATTCCAACGACAGTATGATTCCAAAACTCACTTTTCTTCCACTATAATATTCAGGAGAACTAGATAATATGCCAGACTATACTTTAGTATTTAGAGAAATAAATAGGTCTCTTGAAAGGCCATGAATTTGTATTATCTTACATTTACATTTTTATATAAATTCTCAGGGCATCTCTGTGAGAAGGCTATACATATATTTTTTCCCTTATTATAGATAATAAAATAGAGGGTCAAAGAGATCAAGTGATTTGCCTAAGCTCTCACACCTGGTTTGTAAAGGAGCTTGGCTGTGAATCCACTTGTTTCTCAAATTGTGGTCCATGGACTAGTAGCCATCAGCATCATCTGGACGCTATCAGCCCCACCCCAGGCTTACTAAAACAGAGTCTGCATTTTAACAAGATGCCCAGGTGATTTCCTATGTGTATTAAAGTTTGAGAAGCCCTGCTTTACAGAGGACTTTACTTAAGAAGAAAAAAGACTTAAAGGGATCCATAAAACAATAATAATCTTTAATAAGAGTCAGTGAATAATTTTTCATAAAAAAGATCAAAACGTTTTAATATTATATAATTTGCCCTTGCTTTTAAAAAAACGATGTAGATGAAGCAAAGAAATGAAATGGCTTATCCAAACTGTAGCATCACATAGTTGATCCTAGAGCCAGTTTTAAAATTATAGTTAACAAATTAAAGAACAGTGCTCAAACTGCTTATGATTCTTTCAGTGGGAAATTCAAGTTGGAGATAAATCTGGCCTATAGTATTTTAATAATACACTACTAAAGTTGTTATTTTTGCTTGCACTTAAGTTCAAGAAATTAGAAACTCAGGGATAAATGAAGTGGATTCCCTCAATCAAGCTGTACCATTTGCAAGGACAATGTGAGGAAAACACATTAACTTACTGTAGCATCAAATGTTCTCTTCAGTGTAAGCAGTTCAAAAATGACACAGCCTACTGCCCAGATATCAGACTTGAAATTATATTTTACTCCTTGGCAGAGCTCTGGCGACATGTAATATGGCGTTCCCACAAGCTGTACAACAAATAAAACAAAGAATAACTTCTTTTCTGTGGTAACCATATTAATAGTTCAACAACTAAGTTAAATTTCCCAGGAACTAGTGATAACAACCATAAAACATTCATCAGCATATTCCATAATGGTTTTTATGAGACGATGCCACAATGGGGAGAAATCTTATTCGTATCAAATTTCTTGGGTCAATTATAAAGGGACAATCTCTTTCTAATCTTAATCTCTGTGGTAAAGGCACTGTGGTAATTTGGGAGCTGCAACAGTTCTGTGATTCCTAGATCAGAGGCTATGGGCACTCAAGGCCCACTGCAGACTTCATGCAGGTAAAGACCTACTGAGGAAAAGTTCGCCAAGGGGGAGAAAAAACCCAAAAAAACTGGCAGTGGGGAAAAGGTAGCTGAATAAAGGGGTTTAAAGTTCTAATTAAAAGGCATAGTAATGAAACTTTTTAAATGGCTCAATTTGACATTTGTAATGTTAATAAAGCTAGTGAATTTCTTTCAAATACGAAAAAGATTTCTTGAATTCAAGAATGGGTTTGGAAATAAAAAATGTCCTGAATGGAGGGCATATCTCTCCCAAGAGAGATAATGAGTGCCCCAGAAGTTCTAAAAACACTGACAGCCATCTTTAATCAGCGAAGAAATTTTTCAGATGGCTTACATGGCACTTATAAATTTTCCTATCATTCCATCTTTGCATTTAACTGGCTAAGTAAAGTCAAATCTTGGATCTGTCAGGTTATTCTTGATGAGATAAATTCATATCCGGACAGAACTGCTTTCTCAGAAGCTCAGTTGGGTACCATCATATAATCAGACTGAGTCCCTGATGCAGAGACTCCCAGGCCTGGCTATCAGCATCCCTGGAGGTCTCTATACTGCTCGCAGGTACTATTTCAACACCATCAAAAACACATCATCAGAACAAACTTAATTGTATTAATTTACATTTTCAAGTTCTCTTAAGGACAGAGCATTGTGAAAGAAGGGTAATAACTGGGTTTTATAATTCCTAATAGGATGAGATCACTGTCTTTATAGACCAGCTTATGTCTACTTTACCAATGGTCTTTCTTAGGACCAGGTGAGAAAGGAGCCCTGCAGTTCAGACTGTGTATGATATTAAAAATCAGATTATTCTCTGGGCATCAGCCTTTATTTCTACTAGAGGGCTTCTGAACCAGAAAAATTCAAAGGAGGTGTCTAACATCCTAAGCTCAAACACTAAATAAGAGATAAGGTGAAATCTACTCAAGATCCTAAGCTGGAAAAAAAGGTATTTTGTTGCTTTTAGAAAAGTTGCTAGTCAGTGCCAGAAAGGGCTATGAGGTCAGAGTTGTAATGTGGACAATGACTCGAGTGAACACTTAAGCATATAAATTCCTGTTACTGAGCCCAAGGAAAAAGACTCCTGAAGACTTGTTTTGTAAGTGCGGAGAACTGGCAAGAATACTGAGAAACGCATGTGAGATTTAGGGAGTAGAGTTATACCTCATGGTGCTGGAAAGGAAAAGAGAAAAAAAAAGAATAAGACAAGGGCAACACATACTTACTGTCTCAGCCATGGAATACTCAGAATTAAGTTTCTTTGCTAGGCCATAATCTCCAAGTTTTATCAAGTTTGCCTTGGTCAGAAAAATATTTAATGTCTTTATATCTCTGAAAAAAAAAAAAAAGATGCTGCATAGTAAGCCCATACAGTCAATTGTTTTATCTTATCCCCCACCATGCCCAGGATTAGTACAGAATAAAAATGAGTGTGTCACCACTGCTCACACTGTTATTGGATCTCAAAGAGTGGTCATCACTTTCACACGCACTCTAACATTGAAAAGGAGACTTGGGGGAGTGGAGGCAGCGAATTAACTTCATCCTCCAGGGCTTCACAGCACATGTATGTCTCCCACACCACTGAAGCCGTTAAAAGAAGTTGAGAATGTCAGGCAAAAAAATGGTGTCCCTGGTAATTATAATTCCTATAAGGTGAACTGCCTCTTCAATTACCACTTATGCCTTGAATTAAGAGATAGCAAGGCAATTTTAGCACTTGGTTGGTGTCAAAGTTTCAAATCTGTTAAGGAAAGACATGAGGCTGTATGTCCCAGCAGCAACATTAGGCTGTGTAGATCACCTAAATAAAATCACTGGCTATTTTTCTGAAGATGAATTGACCATATGTAAAACAAATAAACTGTGCCTGGTTCACAGTCTGGCTTCCTTTATTGAAAGATGTGAAAAAAAATCAGAACAATATTTTTTGTAACTTTTGAAAAGAAAATAATAATATGCAGCTGTAGCCATTCAACAGCTATCAATAAATATATGTTAACAATTAATAAACCAACAAAAAACAATAATGTATTAACATTAATCTCTAGTAATGGTCAATGACTCAAGAAGGGTATAATGATGCAGAAATGTTTACAATAGTTCTCTCCTATAGCTAGAATGACTAGAATGCTGTTTCTCCCCTTCCAAAGATCTAGTAAAATTGTACAACTAATCATACAAAATAAATAGGCTTTTTATTTAAATTAAAATAACTTAATTATAGAATTAAAAAATAATTGCCAATTATTATTGCTCAGAGAAAACATGTACTATGAATTCCAACCAATGTAATACCACTTCTCATAGTGGCTTCTAGACTTTACTGATGAATTAATGTAATGAAATGAACTCTAAAATATCTCTTAAAGAAATGACTGAGCAGTATTTAGGAAATTCTTCCTAGGTCACAATCATGGTTTAACTTCAGGAAGTAAAGCTAACACCCCTTGTTATTATTCACTATTTACTTTCTAAAAGATATCAATGTAAAAGCCTTTACTGTTTAATCAAGAAAATAATAGTGGTGATGGAAGCTACCCAAGGTGGGGGACGGACTGGTGGGGAGGAATCCATTCCACAGTCTTTCATTCATTACCTATGAAGGATTCCGGCTTTATGGATACAGCTCACTGCTGAAACAATCTGAAATAGGTACCACACCACCATCTGCAAAGAGAAAATAAATTACATCTGGACTGGAAACAAACAAACAAATTCCATTTACACACACACACACACACACACACACACACACACACACACTCAAACAAAACAAAGGAAGCTACAACCAGAGGTTATGATTCAACATGATTTGACATCTCTTGCTGGTTGAGTAGGCAAAGAAAAATGGTAGGGGCAAAAAGAAAACAGCAGGTCACATAAAATAGTTCCAATGTCATTATAAACTATAGTATGATGAAGCAGACTTGTGGAAAGAAATCCAGGAAGAATGCAAAGGTATAGAAAACTGGGCATACCAGTATGCAGTAATAGAACCAGGAAAGAAAGCCCATAGAGAATCATGATGTGGAGGTAAACCGTTTAGGAAGCAGCTATAGACAGCTTCCTTGTTAGAGGTTTCCTTTCTCATGAATATCAACCAGAGCCCGGAAGGAGTCTGAACAAAAGGAAAAAAACACTCTTCATTGTTGGAAGAGTTAATACAGAACCAGAATGCAACACATTATAATTCTAGCTTCCTTCCATAGAAATATAAATTACCTCTTCCTCAAACAACTTGTCCTTCTGACGGAGGATTTTGTCATACAGGTTCCCTCCTGCAATTAAACAAGAGACAGGTTTGAATTGCTTAATAGAGATAAAAGCTTAGCTCCTGAATCTACTAGAGTTTTAACAGGTAACACAAGGAAATGAAAGCTTCTGCTTCTTCTTCAAAGGAAACTGCTTCTTCCCTCTTTCTTCACACGAGTACAAAATCCTTCCCATCTCTCAAGGACTACATTAGAAATATTCTTCAAAGGTTCCCCTCCCTAACAGAAGAGGCTCAAAAACAGGAAGTATGACACTTTTTAAAAGATGAGAGTAAAGACCATTTCTACAGTACCTCAATTAGAGAAATTACCTTGAATGTCCTTAAAATCAGATGATTTTCTTTGAAACTCCTTTTAAAGGAATCTGTAACATTTTTAAACTCTCAGTGTGACTACTAAAACATTTGGGTTACACCTGTGATGCAATGTTTTGTATATACAGGTGTATATCATTGACTTCTTTTTCTTTCTACTTAATACTAAAAAGGCTTCCGAAATTTTAGGGTACACCTTAGACTGTTTCCAGTCATTACTCCCTTTACCAATTCACTCATTCCTGCAGAGTGAGTGTGAATTTGCGTCTCCCTTTCCTTAATCAACTAATATTGATTGCAAATGATCATGGTTCATTTTATTTCCTACCTGCACCTATAACATTTTAGCCCTGGCTATATTTCACAGCTTCTTTTCACCCATAATTTAGTAACTCAGAGTTTCAATAAATGTACCATTTGTTTTAGATCCTCCTGACCACAAAGGAAGTTAACTACTTAAGGCTTTTGCTACTTCAAAAGTCTCTACTATAATCTTGTATATTGAAGGTTGATCAGAACCAGGCACAATCATGATGTACAAGAGTCTAGACAAGAAAGTGAAGAGTCTAGGAGCTTTCTCTTAAGAAATTTAAGTGAAGAATATGCTGGGACCTCTTTAGCATGCAACTTAAGAAAGGACTTTGGGGGTTCTCTCATGTAATAAGATAATAGCTAGTACAGTATGTATCAAACATTTGCTACATACCAAGTGCTATGCTAGGGGCTTTATAGTCATGTAATATAATAATCCTAGGAGGTAGGGAATGTTATCAACAAACTCACATTAAAATAAGGAAGCTGAGACACAGAAAAGTTAAGTTTCTTGTGCAAGGTTACAGAGCTAAAAAGTTGTGAAGCTTGGGATGTGGGTTCAGAGTCTATTTTCTCAACAACTTAGACCATACTGCTGTCTTACAAGTAAAATGGTCCAAAGAAATCAGAGACCAGATAAATAAGGCCATGCTTTACTATGTTATCATTTTCATTCAGTTATGATCTTTGGACCACTTTTTAACACGATAGATTTGGCTGAAGTCAATATAAATCAGTATCACCGATAAGATTTCATTAAATATTACATCAAGCCACACTAAACCTTTAGTGACTAATTCATGTCATTTCATAAGAAAAAACCTTGAAAAATGAATATAAAATCCAACTGAACAAATAATTTGAAAATGGAACTACAATTGCAAGGCATAATTTAAGTAGCAGGGGGGAAAAAAAACCACTCCTTTTATTTTGTACATCATATTTTGCACAAACTCTCCAGGGCCTGAACTATTTCTCTTAAACTCAAGTTATTCATTTAAAGTTTTTATCACTGTGTCTGCCTCTTCTTTTCCATCCCCCTCAAGGTAAGTAAGGGCACAAGAATGTCTTGCCAGAGGAAGTCCCACTGAATTCCACCTTACCATTACAATATTCCAGCTCAATCAGCAGGGTGGTATTGTCCATGAAGTGATTGTAGTAGGCAATAATATTGTCATGCTGCAGCAGTGCCAGAATAACAATCTCATTCAAGGCATCACGACGTTCCTTCTCAGACAGTCGGATTAAATCAACTTCCTTCCACACAACCAATGAGTCATCCTACAACACAGCAATAGAGGTATCGTGCTTTCCTCTTGCCTGGCAGCAAATGAATCCATACTTGATCTGTAAACCTAGAAAGAAAACTTCCTAGATGGGCAGAGGCTGACGGCGTTTTTTTTCTTTCAACAAAACATGAATAGACTTTAAAGGTTCTGTATACAATTGAGCATCATAATTTACTGTAGGATATTAAGATGCTATTACATTGTTGCTACGCTTAATTTGCATGATGTCAATTCCAGGTAAAAATGTGGGATGGAAGTAGATCTCAAAGATTATGCTGAGGGACATTATGACAGACTATTAGTCACGACGAGAATTGTAGTAGGGCTAGAATATTGGAGAAATAGAGAACTGGGGGGTGGTTACCTATAGCTGATCACAGATGCTTGTAAAATAGAAATATTAAATTTGACTCTAATTTTATAAAGTTAGATTTCTCTGGTGATTTTCGTTTACCCTTTCTGGTTAAGAATAAGTCATGCCTAACAGCTCTGGGATCACTTAAGTCATGCTGCCCCATTTTGCAATTCTGTGTCTCCTGTCACTTTTATGCATCACGTTTTTCTTTATTCATGAAAACTCACCTGCAGCTCCCAATATCCACTCCGTTTTATAATATCTCTAACTTTACTGACTCTGCTTCCTGGACCAGGCGCATCCCCACCTAAATCACTCTCCACATCCTCTAGAATGGCTCTGCTAGGCCTTTAGAACTTTTTTGGGAAGGTCTGATGAGCCTTCTGCTGTACATTTATTCAACACAACTATTCCCTTAATTTTCAGAGCTCATACACTGAAACGACATTTGCCCATTCTTTTTCATTTATATACACATATAACTTAAATGCTATTTGTTTACTAACAGAGCCAACTTGTCTTCCCACTGAAATATAAACTTGAGGGAAAGGGTTGCTTCTAATTAAACCTCTGTAAATCCATAGATCTAATAAATATTTGGTGACATGGGTAATGTTATAGTTTTGGGGACGTGTAATCAAATTTCACTTGAAACAATCTCAGTAATCAAATTCAACATAAAAATGGAAAGGCATGGGCAAGGAGATGTAAAACTCCATTCTAGTCCAAGACTTCTAATTTAAGTGAACAAGTCACTTAAATATACTGTCTTAGTTTCTTTAACTATTAAACAGGAATACTAATGCTCATCCCCTCTTTCTCATATTGTGAGTACAAATAAGAAAACAGAACACTAACTCTAACATCATACATTAATGTGGCATTCTGATAAAAAAGAACACTGAATGATATTCTCTTGCAACCACCTCTCTCCATCTTTCAGCCTTAAAACTACGCTAGCTTGAAACACACACCAGAATTCCAGGTGGATCACTGATGGATGAATCGCTTTCAATAACCCTAGCATGTTCTCATTAAATGCTTAACTATTCTAAAGCTAAAATTTTAAGACGTTAGTGACCAAAATCAGTTTATGGTTAGTTTTTTTTAAGTAGAATCATCACCACTGCAGGGTTTTAGATCAGTATTCATACTGAACTTGGGGGTCAGCGATCCATGAATCTCTTCAAAGGATATGTGTATGTGCAACTGTGGATGGGGCGATTATATTTATTGTACATTAGGTTCTCAAAGCAGTCCTTGTGCCCCCTCAAGTTAAGAACTAATAGCTTAGAATATGCCAAAGAAGTATTTCCCAGGCTCAAACGCTGCTGGATAAACACTGACCAAGGAGGCAACACACGATGATCTCCCTAATCTTCAAGACAAAAGTGTTCACATCTGAACTTAAAGGTAACGGCAAAGATAGCAGAGTTGCCACTAAAGTGGAATTTTGAAGCTGTGCCCGTCCTCCCACCATGACTGTGGAGAGCTGAGAGGAAGTAAGTTTTGGCAACAGCTCACATTCGTATTATCTCACTTTAACTTACAGTTTGCAAAGCACCTTTGTTTCTCAAGATAACCTTTAAGAATAAAAGTTATTACTAACCCCATTTTATAGATGGGGAAACTAAGGCTAAGAGAAGGTCCACTGCCTTGCTCAGGGTTAAACAAAAACGACCAGTTAGTAAAACCAGTGATGTAACGAATTCCTAGTGCAGGCGACTTGGAAGAGTGACGGAGAGGACCCTGCGACATATACCCTGCGGGCACCCAAGCACTACAGGAGGACCAGTCGCAAGACGCGGGGAAAGCGCAGCTGCCGAGGGGCTGGGACGGCCGCAGCCGGGGGCCGCTACCTCCGTGCGGCGGTACAGCGTGGCCTCCCCGAAGGCGCCGCGGCCCAGGACGCGGATGGGGATGTAGTGCAGCTCCTCCTGCTCCGCCGCGCCGCCGCCGGCTCGCGGCACAGGACCGGCGCTGGGCCCCGGGCCCGCGTCCCCACCACTCCCGGACTCGCTCCCGAAGTCCGAGTTGATGGAATCGCAGTGTCGCTCGTACTCGCCCAGTACCGACATGGCGGCAGCCACAGGACCGGCCTGAGTGTCCCTGGTGGCTCTCACTGTGCTGCGTTTCTCTCGCTTCAGACGCCGGCCCGCGGTTCCGTCGGCCCCGCAACCCGGCGAGGTTCCATGGTGGCTCCTTCCCCCTGACCCGGAAGCGGTTCTGGGTACTTCCGGCCCAGCGGGGTTTTCTCCGCCTTCGCTGGCCCCCTTGCTTAGTCTCGGAGCCACGGCGTTCCTCGCTCCCCACCCGCGGAGAAAGTGAGGCCTTGCTCGGGGTTGGCGGGGGCGTGGTAGCGACAACGTGGAACCAAACGGCTCTGGCGGGAGTAAGATCACCAGTGGGTCTGTAAGACCACCTCCCTGATCCCTGGCCAGGTCCCCAGACAGCTTCCAGGTCCAGGTTTCGTCCTGTCTCATCTTGGCGACAGGTCTGTCTCAAGGGCAGTGATTGGGCAAGCAGTCCCTTCCAGTGTTGCATAGCGCTCTTTGTGTAGTTATTATAGTAAACGGAAATATTTGCCTCCTGTCATCTCAGTCAGTGGGCCGTTATGTCTCCCAGAACTACCCTACGTCCCTTCCTCTTACACACAGCTCCAAAAGTATTTTGTCAACTCTCCTGACACACTTCTTTTTTTCCAGACTTAACATTATCCTTCAGCGTCTTTCCAAATGTTTGGCCATCTGATCTCATGGAACATTCTTTGAGCGCTAGGTGCCACTGTATTTGGCGGGGTGGGGAGTCTGCAATAGGATGCTCCTTGCCCTCAAGTAACTAAAAGAATTGCAATGCAGTGAAAAACGTCTTCCATCAGTTGTGACTGTAGGCAACTTCACATCTCCAAGCTTGTTTTTTAATCTGTAAAATGTGGGAATCTGATCTACATCAGAGAGAGAACAGCGAACATTTCTAGTGTCGTGTTCCTAGCACTATGCTAATGTTTACTTTCCATGTATCATCCCACTTAATCCTATTATTCCCATTCTACAAATGGCACTGAAACACAGAGAGGTTAAGTAACCTGCTCAGTGTTACACAGCTGGTGGGGGAGCTGGGAGTCAAACCGAGCAATCTGGCTCCAGATCTCTCATAGAGCAGGACCTGTTGGGGCTAAGAGATCATGTAGCTGGGGCCCAAGGTGCATGCTGGGTAGAAGCAGGAGAAGACAGGTCCTCAAATATCGTTTCATAGTTTGGCTTTTCCTGTGTGCAGTGGAAAATTATGGGAGATTTTTAAGCAGGGGCAGAGAGTTTGGCGTTTCCTGTGGGCAATGGAAAATTATGGGAGATTTTTAAGCAGGGGAGTATAGATTAGTGTGACTGTCTTGATTTGCTGGGGAAGTCCCAATTTACACCTTTTTCCTCCCCAGCATAACTAATAGAGCCTTCTTTTGCTCAAGTGCCCTGCTCAGACAATAAACAGTATGATCACCTTACATATGAACAAAGTTGTATTTTACAAAGAACTCTGATAACAGTGTGGAGGACAAAGACTGGAGGCAGGGAGACCAGCTAAGAGGCAATTTATATTCTAAAAAAAGAAGAGGCACTGAGGTACTATCAGTGCCAGCGGAGAGAAGATCCAGTTTAAGAAATCCATCCAAGGAACTTTTAGACGTTGTGATCAGTTGGGATATGGTTGGTGTGGTAAATGTGAGTCTAGGAGACACTTCGAGGGTTTTAACTAGGTGGATAGTGATAGCAAATAGGAGGAAGAGAATTGATAGAATGGGGTGAGGGGTGTGAGGGCTAATGAGTTCACATTCCTCTGACTTCACAGTTCATCAATATTCCTTTTCAAGTATGATATAATACACTGTGCATAACATTCCACATCAGGTCTGAATAGGAGAATACAGGGAACTTCTATCTTCTTTATCTACATCCAATATTTCTGTTTTATTAGTGTATCAGCCTTCATAATGATGGTCTGCTTATACTGTTCCTGTACTTAAATTTTTCACATTCAATCCAAAGTAACAGCCCTCCCGCCAGATCACATCACTCATTTTCTTCACTGCCTATCTGTAAAATATTGATGTCTTGTTTGTTTACTTTATTATCTCCATTAGAATATAAGCTCCAAGAGAGGATTTTGTGCTCTTGTTCAGTTCTATATCACCAGTGCCTTGAAAAGTGCTGATAGGTTTAAAAATGATTTGTTGAATGAGTATCAGGTCATTATCTTATATGTATTTAACACTTTTTAAAACTAAATGGAAGACTGGCTGATAGCCCATTAAATTTTATTTTGTTAGTTTCATTCCAGAGTTCTATATTGTAGAAATATTTTTGAATTTTCAATTCATTCATTCAACACTGAGTACCAACTTGTGCTGGTGCTGGGTTACAGGAGAGAACAAAGTAAACTTGGTTCCTGCTCTCATGGAGCTTACAGTCCATATAACAGACAGATAATGAGGCAATTATAAGGATAATTGTAAGTTATAGTGTTGTTATAAAGAAAGTACAAGTATTATTAGGAGTGGCATCTTTCCCAGCCAAACTTGCTGGGTTAGTGAAGGCTTCCTGGAGGAATATCTAAAATATTGTCAGTAATGGCTAAACAAAGTAGGGAGATCATTTCAGATTGAGACCATTCCATCTACCTCCTCCTATTAACTAGATAGCATTTTGAGGATAAGTACTGCTTATTTATTCGGGTCTACTCCAGAGTTTAGTTCAGCATATTAAACAGAATAGATATTCAATAAACATTTTCTTCAGTTTAAAGAATGGAAAAAGTTGTTAGTTAAAATCAGAAGTGTTGACTTTCAGAGAAACTGAATTAGTTTCAGTCAAAGCTTAAAAATTCATTTTTCTGGCATCTTTGCAACGAGGAACTAGTTTTCTGTAACTTGGTTAGCCTGATATTGTGAATTGTTCTAGTTATTCTGCATAGATAGAAGCTCAACAAACAGCCCGTTCCATCTTAGAGAAGACAGAACAGAAACACGCATGCTCAGTTCTTTATACTAGATATAAATGAAACTAAATATCTGACCTTTGAATATTCCTAGTAAGTCCAGAAATACTCAACATTCTAAAGGTATAACTAACTTTAAAGTGCCTCTTATCAAAAATGGTATTTCCATGTTATATTTTAACAGGTGAATACAGTTAGGATGCTGCATAACAGAAGTTCTTATGAATGGCAGATCCCCAGGGGCCATAAAGTTACTATAAAGATTAAAGAATCTACCAAAGTCTATACCTTCCCTGTCCGACATGGCGTGCCGCCACTAGCTATATGCAGTTCTGGAACACTTGAATTATGTCTAGTCAATGCAGATGTGCTGTAGCTATAAAATGCACACTGGATTTCAAAGAGTTTCTATGAAAAAATATATAAAATATCTCATTAATCATTTTTATATTGACTACATGGTGAAATGCTAATGTGGTACTACAAATTTAAAATTATATATCAGGGTTCATATTATGTGGGACACCACTGCAGCAGACTGAATAATTTGCAAAATATGTACTACCATTGAACAAGTATATGATACTGTTGAGATTATTAAAGTTCATTTTGTCAAGTTGCTGAATTTATTCATTATTTATGTTCTCTAAAAGTAAAATATCAGTGAGAAATAAGACTTTTTTTTTTTTTTTTAGCTGAGCCATCCTGCCACTGTGGCAGCTCAGCAGCAGCTCAGCTCGGGCTGGGAATTGAACCGGAGACCCTGTTGCTCAGGGCTTGCACTCTTGAGTGAGCTCTTAAGCAACTGAGCCACTGGGCTGGCCCCGAGAAATAAAACATTTTTGATGTTACAGTATTTATACTCCAATGTTTGGAACCACTATTTTGTATAGATTCACTAACAAATTATGTTTTTCTGGGGAATGGGGGTGGAGGGTAAATAAGAGGCCAGTGAATGTGCAAGGCACTTCAGGTTGACTCTTGGAAAGAAGCTTTATGAAAAATGTTCAACTACAAGTAAAGGAAAGGAGAAAATGGCCATTACTTGCTGGAGTGGGGTTTTGCTTAGATATGATGGGCAAATAAAGCAAATTGTGAGGGGTTCTAAATTGGGAGAGCTATTTTAAGAATGGAGGGCATGGGAGAAGACCCTCTGTAGGAATATAATTTCAATACCAGTTTCCAAAAGAAAGAAGCTATAGAATAATGCCTGGCTTATACAGCTCTATTTGGTCTTTATGAAGATGTATAATTATTATTTTTATATATACATATCTAACATATATAAAATATAATACATTTTTACTAGCTCACAAAAACTTTATCCATCTGGAGTAAATTATGAACACTATTTTTTCTCTACTTAATCACGTATAATTTGCCATACTTTAAAACAGGACTATGGAGGAATCCCTGCCAATCCAGACAAAGAGGTATTCAAGAGTAACAGAAAAATACACCTACAATGGTTTCTGCTAGCCTTTATTTGAGAAAATTTACACAGAAATCCCCATCCAACTCTTACAAGTGAATCTGTATAAATCCCACATGCCTCTTTCCATTACACAAACAGAGAAATTGCTTATGACAGGGTTTATGACAATGGTAAAATAAATCTTACTTACATTGCATCATTCTCATCTGTATTACACACACCATGTTGAATAATGGGCTCAAAAACAGAGGAAACGAGATAACATCCTCGTTTTTAAAGCTGATTTGCTCTTGCACTAGCCTTTTATCAAAGGCAAATAATTTTACTTTTAGATAAAATCAAGGTGCAATATTAATGAACTTTAAACCAAAAGCACAAATATCGGAGTTGGTGGTTTTGGCATGAGTAAAAGGACATGAAAGAATTTGTTTCACAAAGTCACATTTGGGAACAAAACATCAGCAAAATAAAATATTCTCCTCTTCTGTCTTCTTTGACATTTTGTCAGAACAGAGTACTATAACCAACTGAGTAGCTTTCATTGCTTCTAAAAAGGGGAAAGGCACCAGTCAGAATTATGAAAGAGTATCTTCTTAGGCTAATGGTACAGAATTTCACCTTTAAACGTCTAAAGATAGATCTTAACCCACAAATTTGGTCATTCTCTTCCCTACTTGGATGCATCTTCTGTCGTTGAGCATTTGTAATACCACAGAGAGACTTTCTCAACATCTGCTGCTCTTGCAAGGATTCATCGGCCAGGTTCTCAGAAGCAGTACCTATCAATTCTTACCAGCAGATGGCAATGTTGCCCAAATTAATGAAAGAACCACTTTCTACGCCACACCAGAAATTCATACAGGGAGTCAAAAGGAGAAGAAAAAAAGCTTTTGGGTTCACAGTAGCTGGAACGTTAACAGAAGCCTGAGATTCTGACAACGTAACTCACTTCCTCTTCCACCTTTGTACTTTTATCCAGGTCATCACAGCAGCATTCTCTGTTAATTCCAGGATGCCGCTTCTTAACCGCAAGCTGCATGTCCCTAAGTCCTGTCATTCTTGCCACTGCAATTAGACAAACCCTGTAACAGTCAGCAGGGTTAAAAAAGAGATTACAGAAAGGACAAACTCCTGCCTCCTTTCCTGAGAGAGTGGGGAAATTGTCATAATATTTTCCATAGTTGTTTACAAACATGGTCATGTGTATCCATGCTACCTCTTATTTACATCAGTATTGACCTCTAGGCACCTCATATTCTCACAGTGATTCTTGGCTTTGCTTTCACAACATGTATTCTCAAGTATTTATTCATGATCCCAGATGTGTTATTTTTATAATACCTCATATGTCTTGAGGGACACATAAGAATAGGAATTAAGTCAAGTGACTGGCCATGTAAGAAGACTCGGTAAATTTTACTAATTTTTTCCTTGGTAGAAGTTATGTTAAAAATCCAAGCAACCACATATCTGACAAAGGACTTGTATCTAGGATAAATAAGGAACTCTCAAAACTCATGAGTAAAAAGAATCTAATTAGAAAATGGGCAAAGGACATGAACAGATATTTCACTGAGGAAGATATACAGATGGCAAATACGCACATGAAAAGATGTTCAACATCATTAGCCATTAGGAAAATGCAAATTAAAACCATAATGAGGTATCATTACATACATCTATCAGAATGACTAAAATAAAAAATAATAACAACAAATATAGGTGAGGATGTGGAGAAACCGGATTGGTCATCCATTGCTGGTGGAAACATAAAATGGCACACTCACTCTGGAAAAAGAGTAGAGTGGTCTCTTACAAAAATAAACATGCTCTTACCATACAACCCAGCAATTGCCCTCTTGGGCATTCATCCCCAAGAAATGAAAATTTATGTTCAAATAAAAACCTGTACATGTATGTTCACAGCAGCTTTATTAGTAAAGGCCAAAAACAAAACAACTCCAATGTCCTTCAATGGGTGAACAGTTAAACTGTGGTACATCCAAACCATGAAATACTAAGCAATAAAAAGGAACAATTGCTTGGATGGATTTCAAGGGCACTATGTTAAGTGAAAAAAGTCAACCTCAAAAGGTTACATACTGTAGAATTCTTTTTATATAACATTCTGGAAATGACAAAATTAGACAAATGGAGAACATATTAGTGGTTGCCAGAGGTTGGGACTCGGGAGGGAAGGAAGGGAGGTGGCAGTGGCTATAAAAGGGGAGCAGGAGGGATCCCTAAGATGGAACTGCTCTGCATCTTGCGGTCACACAAACCTACACATGTAATAAAATTGCATAGAACTAAATACACGAAAAGAAAAAAGTTCAAGCAATTGAGCACAAATATTTTAATTCTCTAAAATGAAATTTTCTTTAAAAGTTATCTACAGTTCAAAGCTCATTTCTATGAGGTGTCATCCATCACCCTTTTAAGAGACATAAACTGAAAGGATAAAATTATGAAAGGGTATTGGCAGAAGCTACCTAAGCATTTCAGCTAAGGGTTAAGATAAAGTTAAGGGTGTTTTCACAAGGAAATCCAAAGAGGACAATCAGAATGAAACGAGTTCCACATGGTCATACAAATCTTGGTAAAGGAACTAAAGTGGAAGCCCAAGCTGATGAGCAAGTGCGAGAGGAAAAGAAAACCATGGTTCGAAGAGATCACACGAGGAAACCCAACTGGCTTTGGCATTATCTAGGTAACCCCTATTTTTTTGTCATAGATGACTCTAATAATAGTCCTATTGTTGCAAAACCAGTCCAAATCCTATCAAGTTAAAAAGGAGTCCCTCAGTGACTTGCTGGGTGTGGGTGGTAACCCATGTCCTCCCACACCCAGAGAAATCAGTTCCGGCAAGAAGGTTCCAACGTGCCTTGATGGTGCTCTTAGTAGGGTGCCTCAGGCTGGGCACGTCCCAGTGATGTTCTGCTGGTGGGAGGAGAGTGGGTCTGGTTACTCAATCAATTTCTTGGCCTTGAAGAAGCGGCGCAGGTAGAAGACCTGCCAAGTGGCTAGTCCAATGAGGCAGAACATGGAGAAGATGCTGAAGTACAGGACACGAGTATTTGTTGACTCTAAAAAAAAACCCGAAAGCGTTGTAAATGTAATGAAGTGAGGCTCAGCAGGCTAACCAATGGCCATGGGGAAATGGCAATTAACTTCACCCTGTCCCTGGGCTTAACAAGAGGGTTTCAGATAGCTTTTCCTTAAATCTTCATTATTCTACACATAAATATTAAAAATGACAGAGATTAGGACTATCGATTTGATACAATAAGCTAACGGAATATGGTCAACTGCGTATCACAGAAGCAATTTCTATTCCCTTGAAAATCTAGCAAGGCTCATTTACCCGTAGCAGCAATGCCAAAGTAAGCGATTATCTTCCCGTACATCCTACCTTTGGCAAAACTGAGAAAAGGGTACACCAGAATTTAAAATTTGGGGGTCTGATTCACTTATTGAGAAACAATAGCTGCCTGCCCCTTACCGTTGGTATCACGCATCTCCTCCTCTCGCTTCTTCATGTAGGCAAAATCATTAACGATAGATTCTGAAAGGTCTTCTAGGCGTCGCAGCTCCACCTCCAAAGGTTTGAGCTTCTCAACTTTTGCAATCTGGAAAAGAAAGAAATTATGAACCCACTCCCTGAAAAAATTGCTCAGGTCAACAACACAAGACAGCAGGGGCGGCCAAATGGCTCAGTTGGTTAAGAACACAAGCTCTGAGCAGCAGGGTTGCTGGTTCGATTCCCACATGGACCAGTGAGCTGCCGCTGAGCTGAGCTGCTGCTGAGCTGCCACCCGGATGGCTCAGCTGGTGAGAGCACGTGCTCTTAACAACAAGGTTGCTGGTTTGACTCCTGCATGGGATGGTGGACACCCCACCCGCAACTAAGATTGAACACGGCACCTTGAGCTGAGCTGCCCTGAGCTGCTGACAGGCGACTGGATGGCGACTGGACTTGGAGCTGAGCTAGCTGCACCCTCCACAACTAAGACTGAAGGACAACAGCTTGGCTGTTCCTTCCCCTTCCCCAATTCCCCAGTAAAATCTTAAAAAAACAAAACAAAACAGCAGAGGAATCTTTTTAAAAGTTTCACCAAACTTAAAATCTCTTCTGTCATCAGGCTAACATATGGTATTTTAAAGTTTGGGCTTCTTCCCTTCCCTACAAGTGTTTACAGGTTTCCATCTCAGACTCTTTTTACACTTTAATTTTGATTAAAATCTCCTTACAAGTACTATAATATGGTAGGCTGTAAAGTAAGATATATTATTTTCCCAAGATTTCTGACTTTAATAAAGCACTTTACCCTTCTACTCATGTCTAAGAAATAAATATTATCAGCATAATGTGTGAGAGTCATAGTATTAGTCAAATGTGGTTTTAGAAGAAAAAACACCAAATTCCCAAAAGGGAATACATAGGAATAAGACAGTAGATAGAACTATAGCATTAAGATAATAACTCAAGGGGCTGGCCGAGTGGCGCAATGGTTGAGAGCTGGCTTGGGATGCCAGAGGGCCCCGGTTCGGATCCCACATGTGAGGGCCAGTGACACTGCCCTCTACGGCTGGGATGCTGAGCAACAGCTCAGCCTGGAGCTGGGCTGCCGTGAGTCGCCGGCGACGGCGTAGGCTGCAGCCCCTGTGGCAGTGGGTTGCCATGGGCTACCGTGTGTAGCCAGCAGCCAGCGTGAGCGGCCAGCAGCCGCAGTGAGCGGCCGTCCAGAAGCCGGCGACTGGTCTGCCTCGCCAGAGAAGAGCGCAATGATGGTGCCAACTTGGGCCAGTGAAGCAACATCCTCCACAACTAGACTGAAGAACAAAAGGACAGCAACTTGTCTGTTCCCCTTCCCCAAATTCCCCAGCGCTGTTCCCATCCGCCCAATTCCCCAATAAAAAAAAAAATCTTTAAAAAACAAAAAAGATAATAACTCAAACTAATTAGAAAATTCTGCTTTGCTCATTTAAATCCCACAATAGCTTTAGGTTTAGAGCTCCACAACCCAGATGAATCCTAGGTCTGCTAAAAAAAAAAAAGTGCACTTGTTTTTAGAATAACACTGCCATTCTAAAAACAAAAATCTCCAGGGACTTCCCAGTATGCTAAGGAATGAAGGATGTGAGAAAGCGATGCACTGTGCTCCTTTCTCAATCCAGACATCTGTGAAACCCCCCCCCCCCGATATGACAAGAGCAAAGATTTCATATTCTAATTGTTTTTCTGATCGAGCTTAGGTTATCATATGCTTTAATATGGGGATATACCACTAAAGCTTCCCAGATCTTAAAACTCATATAATAGTTGCTCTTAAATTTTTCCATATAGAGAATTCTTCAAAAATTCTTTTTCTACATCTGCTTCTTTACGCCGTTTACCATACATTAGCTGTGTAACTTCCTACTTCTTCTCTCTTGTCCCATTCACCTTCCTGATCTTTCTCTCTATTAAATGTTAACAGCAGCTAACGTGGAATGAATGGGAAGAATTTAAGGGTATTCTTATGTTCTCTCTGCCTAGCTGTATTCTTCACTATACATGTGAAGAACAGGGCAAAAGTTATTTAAAATAAAAGAAAGCTAGAAACTGCTGTTAAGATAGGGATATAAAAAGTTGAGTTGATATTTAAGGTACATAAACTGTGGTGATAGATTTTCAATGATCCACCGAAGATTTCTTTTACTGAATGTATATTTTCTGACATTGTAAAATGTTGGCTAGAATTAATGTTGCGATTGACAGCTGCAGAACAGAATAAAACTAACTGGGTATAACATTTAACCAGTGGTTAGTTAATGCATTGAGCTAATTTTCCCAGCTCAATGCCCAAATGCCAGATTTTTTTTTTTTTTAAAGATTTTTATTGGGGAATTGGGGGAGGGAACAGCATTGGGGAATCGGGGAAGGGGAACAGACAAGTTGCTGTCATCTTGTTCTTCAATCTAGTTGTGGAGGATGTTGTTGGCACCATCATTGTGCTCTTCTCTGGCGAGGCAGATCAGTCGCCGGCTTCTGGACGGCCGCTCACGGCGGCTGCTGGCCGCTCACGCTGGCTGCTGGCTACATACGGTAGCCCATGGCAACCCACTGCCACAGGGACTGCAGCCTACGCCGTCGCTGCCGACTCACGGCAGCCCAGCTCCAGGTTGAGCTGTTGTTCAGCATCTTAGCTGTGGAGGGCAGTGTCACGGCCCTCATATGTGGGATCCGAACCGGGGCCCTCTGGCATCCCAAGCGAGTTCTTAACCATCGCGCCACTTCGGCCGGCCCCCCAAATGCCAGATTTTGTCATTAACCTAAAATATATATCATATATTTCACATAGAGCCACAGAGCAAAGAAATTCCCCAAGAAAAAAAGATACCAATACAAGAGATACATAAGCTGAACCTTAGTCTGTTTAATGTTTTCCCTTTTGGTTTATACTTCCCCCTCCAAAGCTTCCTGAATGAGATAGTATGAAAACAATGCTATGATACTTCTTTAGCAATGAATGATTTAAGGTTCCCTAAATAGAAACTTACAAAAAGAACTGGAAGTGAAACTAAGATTGTGCCTCTGCCAGATGAAAATAATACTTTTAAAAATTATTTTGAAGACTACTTCTAACCCTCTCCCCACTTTATTTATGTACTTATGTATTTATTTAGATTAAATGACAATAGCCCAAATGCCTAAAACCTGAAAACGGATGTTGGTACTGAAGTGGTTTTCGTAGATTAGAGCCCAAAGTACCTGTTCCCAATGCTCTTCCTTTCTGGTGTTTCACTTACTGTTTAGTTGTACAAGCAACCCATAAATATGTTCTCCTGCTAAAGAATTTAAACTATTCAGAAGCAAAGGGAACAAAAACAAAAAAGCCACCTTCATAGATCAATTCCCACATCCACACATTCCTTCTCAGAGGTAACCATGATTATGAAATTGATGTGTATCTTTCCAGACCTTGTTAGACGATACACACTATGCTTTTGTATGTATATAAATGTACGTAGAAAAATACAATTAAAAACTATTTATAAATGGGATCATAATGTATATTCTGTTCTATGGCTTGCTTTTTTTTCATTTAATAAGATCTTTCCAAAACCTTCAGTGCTTGCATATTCACCTCATTCTTACTGCTGTACAGTATCCGCACTATATACAGGCCCTTGTCTAGTTAATATTCAATTCCCCAACCCCTTTCCTAGTATAGGTCCTACTGCAGACTATTCATAACCAAGCAGCCTGATTTCTATCGTCCAAATCAGTTGTATTATCTCAATGAAATACCCCTACTCAATCCTGTCCTTAATTCAATAAATTATTTTCACACTTTTGAGTAGGATGACGGTCTCTTTTCCTAAAAAAAATCTCTGCCTAATAACTATTTTTATTCTTGGTATTAATTTAAGATCTAGGAAACATAAAAGAATCGCCAAGAGACTAAAACAGTATTGAAAACAAACTTTGCTATTTCAACCATCTAACACATGAATAGTCAATGGCAAAAAAAAATAATGGATATATGGGTTGTCAGAGTCATGACGCATTTTTGTAACGAAAAACACAGAAAAAATACGTCATGACTTTTCCGACAACCAATATTTCTACATTTAATCTAAACCTAGAAATCAAAACAAATGTAAAAAGGGTGTTTTTTGTTTTTTAACATTTTAAGACCCAACAACAATGCTTTCTTGAGTACTCACTATGTGCAAGAAACCAGGATAAATTATGATCTCTGCTCCTAAAATTTCAAAGGCTGGTGAAGAGGTTCACATTAAAAGCTTTAACCATAATATAAGGCATTATTTATTAACTTCTACAACAAAGGCACACATTAAAAGTGGAATGGAAAGAAAGTAGCATGAGATTAATTTCAGCTGAAAGGATAAAGGAAAGCTTAATGGCAAATGGCTGAGTTGGGTCTTCGCAAGTTGTGCAGGATTTTGAAGCAAATGAGACAGAAAGGCATTCCAGGCTTAGAGGAACCTGCAAATGAAAACATGGAGGGAGGACAGTGCAGGGCGTGTATAGGACACCACAAGTAGTCTAGTCATAAGCGGACTGACATGCATATCTGTATGTGTACGCATGCACTCAGGTGTCCACACACACACATGTGCTTGGGGGACGGTGGTGGACAATAGCAAATACAGAGCTCAAAAGTTAGGCTCGAGGTTTGACTCCCACATGGGATGGGGGTTACACCCGCCCACAACTGAAGACTGAACTTGGCACCTTGAGCTGAGCTGCCACCCGGATGGCTCAGTGCATAGAGCGTGAGCTCTTAACAATGAGGCTGCTGGTTCAACTCCCACATGGGATGGTGGCTGCGCCCACCCTCAACTAATTGAACACAGCACCTTGAGCGAAGCGGCGCAGCTGGACTTGGAGCTGAGCTTGCTGCGCCCTCCACAACTAAGATTGAAGGAAAACAGCTTGGCTGTTCCCCTACCCCAATTCCCCAATAAAATCTTAAAAAAAAAAAAAGAACGAACTCAAGAAAGAATTATAAATAAAAGAAAAAACAACACATTAAAATAAAGAGATAGGCTGGAGCTAAACTGAGCAAGAGGCTGAGGAAGGTAGTATAGTAAATCAGACCTACTAGTACACACCCAG